ACTGTCATGGGTGGTTACCAGATTGGGATTTGATGGTAACTGTAGCGATTTCTCCCTGGAGGTAGGGGGAGTAAGTTACAATTCCTGTCAGAAGGGATTAAGGAATCTGCGGTCACGTCAGCTTTTTATGTGCTCACTTTAATCAGGAAGGCATGATGCAGCCGTTATCTGATGCTGTAGACACCTTATTTCAGCCTTGCCATCTTTTATTTTTTTACTAAGCTTTATAATGAGCAAAGAGGAGGAAGGTTTTCAACCAAAAAAACTGATAGCGCTCATAAAATCTACAGATTCATTTCATTTCCAACCTAAAAACTCGATCATGCCAAACTTCTCCAGTGCATTTTTTTCCAAGTTTTGAAATGATTTTTTTTTTCTCTTTCCTCTTTTTCGCAGAGAGCAAAAAGGAAGCCAAATAACTAAACATTGTATCAGATTGCCATTTGAAAAGCAAATATCATTCTTGTGTTGATACTGAAGGGTCAAAGGTCACCTGATAATCGGCTCTCAGTCGCAGACTTTGGCAAATGATTGCTTTGTGCCTGATTTCTTGGCGCCATTTCATCGCCTGGGTTGTAAATCACTACCTCTTCAAATAATGACAGACTGTCCTCATATTTCTCTCCATTCCTACAGGATCTGACTCAATGTTTTTGGTCTGCTATACCCATACCGAAATAAGTTATAACTAAGTTATAACTTTTCTGTAACTTTTTTGTACCTCAAGAAAAAGTTACATTTTAGTTATAACTTTTCTGTACCTAAAATGGACTTAGCCATTTTTAGATGTAACTAAAATATAACTTTTCTGGACTTTGTCATTTTACTGTATAACTTTTTTGTACCTTTTTGAACTTAGCCATTTTCTGGTGTAACTAAAAGATAACTTTTCTGGACTTTGTCATTTTACTGTATAACTTTTTTGTACCTTTTTGGACTTAGCCATTTTCAGATGTAACTAAAACATAACTTTTCAGGACTTTGTCATTTTTCTGTGTAACTTTTTTGTACCTAATTTGGACTTAGTCATTTTGCAGAATGGCTACTTAGTTAAACTGAATTTTTTTTTTTTTTTTTTTTTTTTTTTTTTTTTTTTTTACCATACACCTAAATTAAATTTTTTTTATATAACTGTTGAAATTTAATCATATAAAATATTAAATAAGCATAATTATATTAGTATAGTAATACAGTTTTACATACCTGTAATATCTACAGAGGATTATATGAATAAAAAGGTGGGGATGATTAAGGGCTACATAAAGGTACCACTGTTTATATGCAGAATTTTCTTTATCTAAAAATTATTCATATAATGAATTGCATTATATACTGCTATTACTTACGCAGACATTTATTTTTCTGTTTTGTTGTGAGTTGAGATTTTTTTTTTAAAAGAAAAAGGGGGGCTTCTTAGACATCTTTACTACCAATGTTTTACTCATCCATTGCAGTCCACAGCCACATCCACTGCTAAGTTCAACAGAAGAGATGTGAAGTTGAGACTTGTAGTAAATTACATCTGAAGTTGGGAATAAATCTCTCTCTAAATCTGAGTCTCTCTCTCTCATTAATAAATATTGTTGTTTAATTAATATTTGTCTTGTAAGTACTAGTTTCATCTAAAGTTGGGAATAATCTCTCTCTCTCTCTTTCTCTCTCTCAGAAAATACGTATTATATAGATTTCATGTTTTGTAAATTATATGCATGTACATCTTAAGGTGGAATAATTTCCCTAATTCTGGAGAAATGTAAATGTTCAAGAGATATAAACAGTGGTCAAATGTTATAATCTCATGAAGTCATTTAATATTTTGCACAGATTTTTCTTCGTGTGCAAAACAGTGTTAATTTCCCCATTGTTTTCTCGTGACACAGGTGTTTGTACTAGATGACCTTTTTGGCCTACACTTCGTAAATTTCAGCTTGTGTATTACGCAATGGTACAATTTTACAAGGGTTGTTTGAAATCTAAAGTAAATCAATCGTAATAAGGGTGGCTAGAAAGATAAACAACAGCATACAATGTGTGTATGTTCATTTATTAACAGATATTACGATGTTGGGAATAAAGACTGCCAGTTATATTAAGATTTTAGCAGAAGACTAGGACATGTGGATTTTATTATTTGCCTGATTAAATAACCCTGTTTTACTAGTTATTTTCATAAATAAATAAAATATTAAATTCAAAATGGCGGCAACGACACAAATATGGCGGCCCCGACGTCCGTTTTGTCCGTTTTGTTGGAACTCTGTTTCAAAATTTTAACACCAACTGGCTTTTTAATATTTAAGATAAGTTTCAAAATACACAATTATGTTTATTTGGATTTAAAATAAATTAATTATGAAGTATTTATTTATTTATTTTCAATCACGTGACTTATTCTAAGTCTCTGATTGGTCAACAACAGAGCGCGGATTTTTTCATGGACGATTTGAATGTTGGTGTGTTGAAAGTGTTGATAGAAAAACGATGACAAAATCATTCGGTAAGGCAATATTTATGTTAATATTTTGATGTTTTTGGTAGGAAATGTTTATTACCTTTAGATGGGCATTCAAAAAAGAAGAAATATGTAGAATGAACAAAATTCTAGGCATGTGAATCTCAGATTTCTTGTTTGTTTTGATTGGTATGTCAATGACAAAGACTGAAGTGAAGAAATTGAAACATAATATTTTTTCAGCATTTAGTATAGGAACAAAAAATGTTATTCTTTGTCATATTTAATTCTTTAAATATTCCTATAGATCAGTTTAATTATTAAATGACCTATATTGTGTAATTGTTTAACAGATTCTCTGAACTGTTTTAATATTGTACATATTGTAGCCTTTAAACACCACATGATCATAACATGATATAGTGTACTGAAATGAGTAAAATAAAATTTCTAATTTTTATTTCATTTCAGCAGTATACTGGTACATTATTTCTTTCCATGAGCATCTTATGTCTGTGCCAAGCTGGAGTGAAATCCTTCAAAAATATCACCTGTTTTAGGTAAGTAAATAATCAAATCTTATTTTTATTTCAAATTCGATAAATCTAAAGCTAATTCCTATAAAGCTGTCAGGTTCTATATTGTTCTTTATGTTTAAAATTTTTTTTAATGCATGTTTATGTGATGAGCCTTGAGGTTGAATTTTCTCAATTACACAACAGAACTCTAATTCTTGTTTTCCAAGTTATAGATGCATATGCCTTGAATTTGAATGAATTGATATTAAAGAGTGGTTCCAATCTGATATGCTTTGAGTGCAGGAAACACTTCAACGTTTTTTTAAAAGAAAAAATTAAAATATTTAAAGTTTGAACCTTTTTAATTTTTGCAGAATTGAAGAAAAATGAAGAGAAGGTTGAAATTGCAAGCATATTTCAAATGAAGACTCGGACGACTACCAGTGCAGGCCATTGAGGGGCGCAGACCATCTGCCGGCCGGCCAAGTCCCTTGACCAGCTCGGCCAAATACCAGTGCAGCCTGTCGAGGGGGACACACTGCTGGCCGGCCAAGTCCCATGACCACTTCAGCCTACTACCAGTACAACCTGTCAAGGGGCGCAGACCGCTGGCCGGACGGCCAAGTCCCTCGACCAGCTCGGCCGACTACTGGTGCAGCCCGTCTTTAAATAATCCAGATAAAAATCACAACTGTACATCCACAAGGATACCTGTGCAAGGACTTGGGTGGTATGCAGCTAAGAACTGTGACCGAAATCACTGCTTAGAACCTTCTTTTTTTTTTGAAGTACAGCTAGATCATGGCGCTAACATGAAAAACTAGAGAGTTAAAATCTAGGCAGTGATGCCTATTTATAAAAGTTCACAAGAGTAGAATGCAGTTTACTAGGTAATTTTACAAAAACTCTTATGACTATATGCTAAAAAAAATGTATTTTTAGAAAACAACCATTCTGAGAAATTTCAATCTGTTATGATGGCTTGATGAAAAATAAGGTAGACTTGAAAACTTGAATGTGCATTCATTCAATTGTATTTGACAATGAACCAAGCTCTCTTAATCATGTTTATAAAATAAAATTGTAAGTGCTTTTAATTTTTTTTAAATAATCTTTTTTGTAAAAATTTTAATAATCTTTTTGTAAACATTTTAATGAGTAGCTTTTTTAAAGCCTATAATTGAGTAATTCCACCACAGGTTAACATGAAGTGTATAATTCTATTGTAACTTTTATTAGGTATAACTTTTATTAGGTATAACTTTTTGTAGTTATAACTTTTTTTTAGGTATAACTTTTCTGTAACTTTTTCATAACTTTTTCATAGTTATAACTTTTCTGTAACTTTTTCATAATCTTTAAAGTTATAACTTTTCATGGGTATAACTTTTTTTAGTTATAACTTTTTATTAAGTATAACTTTTTTATAACTTTTTAAATAACTTTTTCCGGGTATAACTTTTTTGTAACTTTTTCCACCGTTTATTTGGGTATAACTAAAGTATAACTTTGTAACTTTTTTATAACTTTTTGTGTAACTTTTAATAAGTATAACTTTTTGTAGTTATAACTTTTTTGTAACTTTTTGCACTTGCTGTATTTATGTTGAAATAAAAAATGAAAACTTATACAAAAGTTATAACTTTTTTGTAACTAAGTTATAACTAAATTATACCTCACTTAAAACAGGCGGTTCCAAACTCCGATAACTTAGTTATAACTTTTTTGTACCTTTTTTTAGTTACAAAAGTTATAACTAAGTTATAATTTATTTCGGTATGGGATATTTATATATTTTTTGTGGTTTATGAGTTGATGTGAGGTTGAACAGGGATGCTCACCTCTCTTTGCTAAGCCCTTTATGATCTGCTTAATAGACCAGATGCAACTGTAAAACCCAATCATTGTTTGTGTGAAGAATTTTCATGCGAAGACATATTGAGTGTTTTCTACAAAAAGAGGCTTCAACCCTTTTATTGCACACCTGACATGAACTGGTAGATTCTGACATTGTTATATTCTTTTTATAGGTTCATAAATGCTAGGAGAAGAATTGTTCAACCGATGATTGACCAATCAAATCGAGCAGGCAAGTCACCTGTTGTTACTGTGTTCAAATCACGGAGGTGTAAGTCTTCAACAAGTCAGTCTCCTCCCGATATCTCGCCAGGTAACCATGGTAATGATGTCTTTGACACTGGTGGCTGGAAACTTGGCAAAAAGGAAAAGATAAAGAGAACAAGTCTTTGCGACAAGAAACTAAAAAAAAAAATTGGGTGTCTTTAGCAAATTTGTGGAATGCATTTTTTTTCCAATTCGGCAGCCATTGTTTGGCTTTTTTGGGCTGCTGAATCAGACAAAGTCACATGACCTGGTGGGATTGACCAATCAGAGAAGACTTTCACCTCCACAGTTAATATGCATGCTTTTGATCATATCAACACTTTACATCCATACATTGCATGCTAGTTAAGGCTTTATTCCTGCATGCATGGGAAACCTATTGGGAGCTTAATATGGATTAATCTTGAGAGCTGATGTAAATATGGCAAACAGAGAAAGATATTGCATGATATGAAAGTACATTTAGCATGTACCTGCTAAAAGAATTATTCATCAGTAAAATAAGTTTTCTTTGAAGATCTGTTTTTGCTCACTTTAAATATTTCTATTCTTGCTAATTTTGGGTAGATGTAGCTAATTAGATATGAAGCTCTGCATCTTTTGTTTGTAGTTTTTAGCCTTTGATAACCCTAGAATATTTACCTACAGTACTACATGTATATATACTCTAGATGTAGCTTAATGACCTAAATATTATCTGCATTTTTACCTGCCTAAAAAGCAAATACCAGGATGGCTGATTGTAAACAGTCTTATCTCTTTACAGCTCCAGGGGGCCATGGAGGATACAGTCCTGATAGCATGGGCTGGGATGGGCAGGCAATGGCCCACATGGGCTCACACAGTGAGTGATCTTAGGTTGAATATGACAATTTGAAAATATGTTGAATCAGCATTTGGAATTTCTCATTTCCTTCAGCAGTTAATGATCTTCAATTGTTTTACAGTGCTGCAAGGTAGACCCGGAGCAGATATGTATGACCCAATGAAAACAGGCTATCACCACATGGATGGCTCACAGAGATATGACATGTTAGGCGTCCAGGGCATGGGCGATATGTATGGAGCACCCCCTGTCAGTGGCAGCAGTTCTTATTCCCAAATGTCGCAGTTACGTCCGCCCGTACACTCGCAAGCTATGTTAATACCCGGCCACCCTCACCACATGATGATGGGTCATGGGGCTCCAGGAATGAGCCCTCACGCAATGTCAATGAGTTCTACCCAGAGCCCACCTCTACATGGCAGCATGGACAGTATGGGAGCACATATACAGGACATTCATGCAGGGTAGATGCAATGACAGTGGCCCCACATGACATCAAACAAAAAGTATTAGTGGAAGACAGGACTTCCTTTTTCACCGCCTATCAGCACATTAAAAAATAAGATTTAATACATGAATGATTTGCAGTTAAAAACTACAAATCATTCAGACAAATTTTTTGTTTTGTTTTGAGACATAATAATGAGAAAAAAAATGTCACAGTGATCTCGTTGTGGCCAAGTATTGGAGGAATGAAATTCCTGGACGGTGGAACTCAGTATGCTAGTCACAGACGTCGGTGCCGCTTATCTGGATCTACTCGTCTGGATCTGGGCGGAGGATGGCTGACGTCTCCGCTTCCTCTCAGTTTTTCTCAATGATCTGTATGGACTTTTTTTTTTTTTTTTAACTCGCAGTAGGTGCAAGAATCACTTGATTTTTCAGAAGTATTAGGTGCTGGGTAATACAGCATCAGAATTTCTTGTGTTTTCCAATAAAGTATTATGATTTGGGGGCAGATTTGAGCTGCCTGTTTTATTTCTTTGTCACTGATGACATTGTCACAAGGATACCTCATCTTGTATGCTATATATATATATATATATATAGTTCAATGGCCATGACTAATTATATAAACAATAATTTACATGCATTCCATTTCTTTGTGGTACTGGTTGTGGCCATTTTTGTATTTTTGTTCTGTGTCTTTTTTTTTCTATCTCAAACAAATCAAGTGTCATTTCTTTTTCTATTAATTGAACAACAAAATGCTAATGATCAAAGGACCAGACATGTGGCCGTATTAACCAATCAGAAATTGGGGCATAGAAGAGAACGTATCATCACAGCCAATCAATTTGAAGCTTTAATATTACCTCAATATTAGATTTCTGTTGTAAAAAATATGAAAGTTTATTCATTTAGATGGTTTTGTATTTAATATGGTGCATGTTTGAACAGAGAAGTATTTGGTGCATATAATGGACTTGTACATTAGGACTGGGAATGATGAATGAAATGAAAGAGAGGCTTGAATCAAGTCATGGAGTTTTACTTTTGTTTTCTTATTTTCCTGTTTTTTGTTTGTTTATTTTGTAACTGAGTATTAATAAAGATTTGATTTGTTGCCAAGTAACACACAAGATTGTATTTTGTTTGGTCAAATCGGAAAATTAAGGTTATTTTCTTAAAATGATCAAAACTCCTGCTCTGCCATTTCATTTTCTCTTTGTGCTGCCACGTGGTAGAACATTTGTGGTGTGGCCAAATCAACATTTCAACAGTATTCGTTTTCCTCTTTTGTTGATTTTTTTTTTGCATAATAAATTATTTTCTAGTATTTTTTGATTGATGTTGAGTTTTAAGTTTGCATTAATTTAAACAATTACACGTGAAACAAAGAAAATATTCCTATGATATTTCAAATCATGGAAAGATATAAATTATGTATTATGATGTACATACAAAAGTAAATTCTTGGTTTCACTGATTTTTTTTTTCCAATTGTTTTATTTACTGCTGACTACCCACAATCCCATGGATGAATGTTGCCGGGGATATGACAATCACATGATACAGCAACAAAATCGGATTGGCCAATGAGTGTGTTCTGTTATTTGTGTGTGAGTGTCTGGGTGAGTTGGGAGTTTGCTAAAGCTTGGATGCTTAGTTCTAGGGAATTTTTAATGAGATTGTCACGTATTTGAGAAAAAAAATTCCAGAAGAAAAAAAAATAAAATGTTGTACTATGCTAATTTTGATTTTTGTTGTCTTTCTTATAAGTAACTTATCTGGAGTTGTAGATACATGTATATGTTATATGTAGAAGAAAGGGGGTTGTATTGTACAGTAAGACAGACATTTCATATACATTTTGGGTATTTATATCAGTGACAGCCATTACATTTATGTTTAGAATTAAACAAAATGAAAGTTTGCATCCTTGCATATCGGAAGTTTATCCTTATCAGGCCCGTAGGAAGCAATTTGACTGAGGGGGCACAACCATACATTTTCAGTGGGGGGGGGGGGGGGGCACTATCAGCTACCAAAATTCTTTGACAAGCAAAAAAAAAAAAAGTCATCAGACGTTATTATTGAGGGGACACAAGCATATAGTAGCTATATTTTCTATAGTATTCTATATATCGGCAAAATTATTGGGGGGGCGTCCGTGCCCCCCCCCCCCCCGGTTCCTACGGTCATGCTTATATGTTAAACTGTTTCTAAGTTTTGGGGTATTAAATTTGGAAAATACAATTTCTAAGAAACTTAAAGTTATATTATTTGTAAAATTTTGAATTGTAATGGAAAATCGTATCACAATTAGTGGATTTTAATGAATACATGTATATAAAATACCATTATTTAAAAAAAAAAAAATACCCCTTGTTCATGGGTTTTAAAGCATGTACATGAATCAAATGAAGTTATGGGACAGGTATATGGAAAACACTTTGTCCATCTGTTAGGTGTGCATAACCTGAAGGTGTGTCATGACCTTGTCCAAGGTCATTTAGGCAAGGTCAAGGTCACTGTTTGGAAAAGTGCCTTCATGTAATTTTTGTCAGGTTAACAACTTTCTAAGGGTGAAAAATTGGAAGGACGTTTCACACAGAGATTACGTTATGATAAAAAGGGGGGTGGGGTGGGGTGCGGTTGTCATGGCCTTTTATGAAAGGTCAAAGTCAGTGGCAGAAAAATGTTATACTTCCTATCCTAGCCTCATCTTGAGTAACACATTAAGATGCTCATAAAAACTAAAAAGATTTCCCCATCACTTGAAAGTGTGCTGCGACTTTGACTCAAGGTCATATGGGTCCTGATTTCTGAGATAAACAATTACTGGATTGTACATCTTTTGACCTAAAGGTATGTCATGACTTTTATCCAAGGTCATTTGGGCACAGAAAACTGTTGAAATCTTGTCTACTTCATAATTGAAAGAGAACCATTGGAAACCCATACTTGACAGATTTTATAAGAGGTGTGTCATGTTTTTGACCCTGGAAAATTTGAACAAGTTCAAGGTCACTGGTGGAGATTAAACAAGATCAAGGTCGCTAGTGGAAAAATGAAATCACAAACAAAAATTACTACATGTATTTACTATTTCATTTTTGATAAAAAAAAATGTCTACCAAAAGAAAAAAAATCTGTAGAAGGTATGCTCACGTGTACATGTATACATTGATCTGGTTAGGTTAATGAAACAAATATATATTTTCAGAGTTACTAACTAGTGTAAGAGTTGTCAATACAAGTATTTTCATAACAAAGATCTCTGCATTGAATTTTTTTCTCTAATCAGTTCTGTGTGTGGCCTTGCATGATGCAAATTTTCTATTCTGACTCATTTAAAATGCATTACTTGGATACATAAATGTAAATGGCTTCGGGCGTAAATTTAATGCTTTGGCATAAAAATCTTGTTAGTTTCATGATATTATCTCATATCAGTTCGAAAAATCAAAATTGTGAATGAAAATCGGTGGTTGTGATTTGATTTTTTCATTCAGATGAATTTTTTTTGTCCATACATATTTGACCCATTTTAACAGTTGAATTCCTACAGAAATTAAATTCTGATTTCAATAGTATGCCATTTGTCTGAATGAGGGATCTCCTAGTTTCCCGAGGAAAGAGATATTCTAAAACGTTACTATGAAATTTTACATACAAGCACATGCTATGAAAATTTTCCCTATACTAAAAGCTTCATAAATTGTTCCATTTCTATCATTATGAAAAGGTCAATACAGCTTATAGGCTTTTTACTTAGCAATGAAAATATTCTTTCAATATATATACACATTTAATCCGCATAAATAAAATTCAAGGAACAAAAAAATCTATAAATCATATTCAGTTGAATTATACAGTACCTAATGTTTTATCTTTGGCTTTTTGAATTGAGTAGCAGATAGAACTATAGAGTTGTATGTCTGAGGACAATTCATTTCATTAAAATTATTATTGTCCAAGATATATACAGTGACAGTGTTGTTTTTTTTTTATTCAAAGTTTACTGGAAAATCATGTTTGTTGTTGTTGTTTATATATCAGTTGTTTTTACACAACAAAATTTCCCCAAAAGGAAAACCAAACAAAAAACAAAAACAACCAAAACAAAACAAATAAACAACAAAACAAAAATAAAAATAGAAATAGCCTTTTTCTAGAATTGATTTAAATTCAAGTAGATGAAATATGCTTTTCAAAATAATGTATAAACCCTTATTTTCAAGTCAGGATTTTTTTTTTAAATTTTATACCAGACCTTCAATGTAATTAAGGATATAAAATCAGAGATGTGACTCTCATGTTTTTTTTTTGTTTTTGTTTTTTACGATACTTGCATTGCTTAGTGTAGATAATTAACTAGATTTTCAAGTTTGGCTTAAAATATCACATATAATACACAGCAGTAATCAATACTGATTCGTACTGATTTTACCAATATATATAGTATAAATCTACAGTTTTCATTTTTTTTAATAATAACATCTGAAATGATTATACCTGCACTAAATCAGACTATAGAAATAATTTAGTAATATTTTTAACTGTATTGCTTACACCATCATTTGAATTTTTGTAAAGTATATGCCTGTCCCCTTTGTTCAAGCGTAATTTCATATAATCCAAATAAAATTTTTAATACACTTTCATGTATACCTAAGTCTAAAGCTTTTGACCTATAGGTCAACATCAGCACAATTTTCTGCTTTATATAGATATAATTACAGTACCCATGTGTTAAGTTCTATGTATTCTTAATTACATGTGTTATTTTGTTTACATCATCAATTGCACATGTATCTTTCCAGTAAATTTTTTTATTCATTCCGAAAATTGTTCATCTCATTAATAACTATTTTAACCCCATATTTTTAATGTTTTCTTTGAATAAAATTCTTTTTCTCACTACCTACCTACCCATTTTTTTTGTCGTGACTGGAGAAAGGACGAGCAAACATTATTTTAAAGATCCCCCCCCCCCTTAAAAAAAGAAAGAAAAATATGTTCTAAATGAAATTAAACGTAGTTAACAGATTTGAATTAAAATGTTAACATTATCATGAATCATTATAATACAATGTTGTTTTCATCCCGCTTTAAATTCGCCCAACGTATTTGCAACGGTCTAGGGCGAAAAGGGCGAAATTGAAAACGGGAACAAAAATTTCGCCATATACAGTAGTTGTTTGATATAAACCTTCATATAATTCTTTTTAGGTTTGACTGCATTAGAAAAAAGAAGAAAAAAATCCCAATATTTATTTTTTTCAATTGTTTTTTATTCAGTAATTTTCCATACTGTTCTGCATCAAAAAAGTCAACAAATGAAAATTCATAAAAATTAACAACTTCAGTTTCATTTTCATATATAATAATTATTTAGATGAATAAAGATTTTAAAAAATTCAATAAACGTATCATAATATTTACTCTGTTTGAGGATGCACGTTTTAAATAATTACTACGCCACAAAATGCGTATCTATCATAGATGTGTATTGAAATCTATCACAAGAAAGACAATCCATTCATAACATTTATGCCGCGCTTCGTTAATGATGAATATGCATGAATACCACCGCATTTACATATTTCTGACTGAGACAGCACACACATTATATTTATTTCATGTTTACCACTATGGGACCAGACAAAAGATTTCTATTTTATTTTCACTCTTATATAATACTTATAATTAAATATGCACCTTCATATTAAAAATAGGTAAGCAATACATAATATAAATAATAGAAATAATGTCTCTTACAAATGAAAATGAATGATTCATTTTGAAATTTTATATATTAAATATATGCCTCATTTGCAAATTTATACCATATACATTTTTCCTCCAAAGAGTGCAAAACATCCTTGATTAGCTCTTATGACATTTACCCCAAGCATTCTAAATGTACTAGCTTTCCTATAACTGCATACAGATACCTTTTCACTAATGCCCTTTAGATTAACTAATTTTCTCACCTAACTTCTAAAACATCCCATATATAAGATAAAAAGAAAATAATTATCCCCATTTCAATGCATCCAGACATTGTCTACACTTTATCATAACAGTCACCGGCTCACACACAAATTGTATATATATATATATATATATATATATATATATATATATATATATATATATATATATATATATATATATATATATATTCTGAGGGTAATCTCAAATTAAGAATTCAGGTAAGTAGTTTAATACTGTCATCCTTCAGTCCATACAATACAATGTAATTGCACCTGCAAACAAAACAAAAATCCACATTAATGATATACATTGCTTTTCCCATCTCTTATACGAGTACATGTACATTTCAATTAAATATAACCAATATTTTTTTCTACTGATGCATTAAAGGGCTAATTAAGATCAAAGTACAGTATTAAATTAAAAATTATCTGTAAAACTATCCATTATACTATATATTATCAATTGATAGCACTTTTTCAAATTCTCATTCTTACCTTCTTTCAAATTTCAGTTGAAAAATCTGGTCACATATCTTATGAATGTATTTCCGGTATCTCTGTTGCCTGGAGAAGAGAGAATAGGATATCAAAATAAGAAAAATTCTATAGTTATTAGCATATTCATTAGATATTGATATTTAAATGAAGAATTCTGTAGATATTGACTTGATATTAATCATGTTCTGAATATACTTTCAGGTAAATGAAACATTCTGAAGATATGATGTATAGAAAAAAATGTAAATATGAAGATACATGTTTAATAAAAATTATCTCTAAATATTGACATATAATTTTAAATATTTTGTAGGTATTAAATCTCATTAAATATTCAGCATTTTTAGATATTAAAATAAAATCAATATATTTCTGAATTAATTAAAATAATCTAGGGGTAAAAGATTATTGAATATTTTGTTATCAGTATAAAATGATTGGTGTATATTTTGATATCAGTATAAAATGATTGGCGTATATTTTGATATCAGTATAAATTGATTGGTGCATAGTTTATGATTGGTGTATATTTTGATATCAGTATAAAATGGTGGTGTATATTTTGATATCAGTATAAAAAGATTGATGCATAGCTTATGATTGGCATATATTTTGATATCAGTATAAAATGACTGGTGTATATTTCGATATCAGTATAAAATGATTGGTGTCTAGTTTATGGTGTATATTTTGATATCAGTATAAAATGATTGGTGCATAGTTTATGATGGGTGTATATTTTATGATTGGTGTATATCTTGATATCAGTATATAATTCCCCATACTTTTCTATCACCAGTCCTATGCTGTCCTCAAACTCCTGTTCTGTGCCATTCACCTGTAACAGATCACAAGGAATCAAACTTCTGTGTATATATACACACAAATGTATACAGTTATACAATTGTATTTACATATTTTTTTTAATGTATTAAAATACAGTGAAATGTTAGGGCTGAATAAATTTGACTCATTATAAATGTAGTTTGTTATGTCAGGTAAGTTCATATTTTTTTTTTTAAACTATAGGGATGAAAATTAAGCATAAATTCATTATAAGTATGTCCAGTATTTTGGCCACAAACCTTGAATACTTTAATAAAATACATGTGTTCATTGATTGAAATGTAATTAAGTGAAATTGTAATGTTTAACTGTTATATGAATTTTACATGAGTTATCAACATTTGCTGAGTTTTTACACAGTATCTGGGTTAATTTCTGATTAAGTCATAGGCCATTTTACCTCTAAGAATGCCACAATACACTTGAGCACTGGTGCAGTCAGCTCCATAGCAATTACATCTATGGATTTCTTTGGCAACCAAGACATGGAAGAACTCACTTTGGCAAATATCTAAAAAAGAAGAAAATCATGTTTCTAAATTTTCAATGCAAAAAGGTGTTTGGTTGTATTAAAACTAAACCTAGAAAAGTGAAATATAAATATCCAAACTCAAATTACCTGAGATTCGTATTTATATCTGGATTTTGTGGCCATTTTACCATTCTCAATAACAAAGTTGAAGTTGATGAGCATGTTGCTGCTGTAGTTTGATGTGTTGGCATCAGAAGAATTTACAACTGCTATACTCTTACAAGGTGTCCCCTGGTTTGGATCTGACTGCTCCCTGAAAACATTAAGGCAGAGTCTTACACCAAATAAATGTTCTGGTAGTGGGCATCTCTAGTAGCAACATTTATGCAAGTTTGCTCTGGATGGGATTTTAGTTACTTGGGAATGGACTTGCTCCAAAACTTCAATCACACAGAAAATATAAGCAGAGCTGCCAACATCATGAAATGGAAAATTGTAAGGTGAGGTCCAGGGGCTGCCTATGCCACCAGGGACTGATCTCTCTCTCTCCCCCCCCCCCCCCCCCCCATTTGGAAGGGTTGGCAGTAAGCACTGTATAAGTAAAATTCAGCAACTGAAGCAAGTCTGGAGTATGCACCCCGATGCATCACTCATGCAAGTTTGGTTCAGGTAGAGCTAATAGTTGTTTGGTAATAAGACCTGTTCCAAAAACCTAAACATAACAAACATTAACCTTGGTCATTCTAATGGTAAATATTGGCTGAAAATGAAGCAAGTTACTGATTAGCTGATGAATGTAATTTTTGTAACTTACTATACCCTAAGATGCATGCAACTTCTTCAACTTACTAAATAGTAACTTTTATAACTCACTATAAGATGTTTGTAACCTATTTATTTAGATGATTCCTGTAATTTCTGTAACTTACTGATTAGATGATACCCTTAATTTCTGTAACAACATCAGACCATACCTGTAATTTATGTAAATCAGGTGCAGCCTTTAACTTCTGTAACTTACAGATTACAATATGGTGCAAATAAGTTGTGTACTTAATGCCTAGATGATGTGTGTAATTTCTGTAACTTCCCATTTAGATGATTCCCTTTGTTTCTTTTGTAATTTGCTGTTTAGATGATGCCTTTAACTTTTGTAACTTACTGTTTTAACAGATGATGCGTGTAACTTTTGTAACTTACTGTTTAGATGGTGCCTGTAATTTTTTAACTTAAGTTTAGATATAACTAACTGTATAGCCTGTAACTCCTTAAACTTATTGATTTGAAAATGCCTGTAATGTCTGTAGCTTACTTTTAGATGATTACTGTACTTTCTAACTTTTGTAACTTACTTATTAGATGGTACATGTAATTTTTGTAACTTACTCTTTATATATAATTAACTGTATACTGTAACTCCTTTAACGAATTGACTTGACAGTGCCTGTAATGTCTGTAGCTTACTTTTAGATGATAACTGTACTTTCTATAATTTACTATTAAGATGGTGCCTGTATCTTACTCATTAGATGATGACTCTGTAACTTTTGTAACTGACTGTTTAGATGTTGCCTGTAACTTTTGTAACTGACGATTTAGATGATGACTCTGTAACTTTTGTAACTGACTGTTTAGATGATGACTCTGTAACTTTTGTAATTGACTGTTTAGATGATGCCTGTAACTTTTGTAACTTACTGTTTACATGATGCCTGTAACTTACTGTTTAGATGATGACTCTGTAACTTTTGTAACTTACTGTTTAGATGATGACTCTGTAACTTTTGTAACTTACTATTTAGATGATGCCTGTAACTTTTGTAACTGACTCTTTAGGTGATGCCTGTAAATTACTGTTTAGATGATGCCTGTAATGACTCGGTAACTTTTGTAACTTACTGTTTAGATGATGCCTGTAATGACTCGGTAACTTTTGTAACTTACTGTTTAGATGATGCCTGTAACTTTTGTAACTTACTGTTTAGATGATGCCTGTAACTTTCGTAACTTACTGTTTAGATGATGCCTGTAACTTTTGTAACTTACTGTTTAGATGATGCCTGTAACTTCTGCTGTAGGAAATCTACCACTTGACTATTTGTTGTCAGTTTCTTCTCTGTAATTTTGTCTTTTTCTATTGATCTCACCTATTTACAAAAATCAAGGAGACTAAACCTTACACACTTGTTCTTGTAATGTTAATTTTGAAACTTTCAGCCCTGCCCATTGTTTAAAATTACGTGTGTATTTTCATTCACTCCTGCACTTCCTTCCATGAATTACAAAAATCTTATTGTTCATTTAACAAACTCAATTAATATTTCAGTATACAAATTGAGCAAAGATCACTTAGAATTAAATATATTGTACTGTAAACCAACTATTATTCGCGACATCTTTTATTCGTGATACTTCAGTTTGGAATTCATCTGCGACTACTACTGATCACGACTGAGGCAACATTCTACATAAATACATAGGTGAATTATTAGTTTGCGACAAGAAAAATTCGCAAATGAAAGAAGGTTGCAAAACTCACAGATACTTCTTGCTCACGAATAAAAGTTGGTTTACAGTATTTGCTGACCTTGATTGTAGTATCTCCCTCCTGCAAGGTGACCATAAACGATACTCCATTACTGCGACAGAACTCCTGTATGTCTTCCTGTGCCTAAAATCACATCATAAACAGGGTAATTACTATCACAAAGAGGGTAGTTACTGTGGAATCACACCACAGAAGGTAAATACTGTGGAAACACATCACAGACTGGGTAATTACTGTGGAAACACATCACAGACTGGGTAATTACTGTGGAATCACATCACAGACTGTGTAATTACTGTGGAATCACATCACAGACTGTGTAATTACTGTGGAATCACACCACAGACTGGGTAATTACTGTGGAATCACATCACAGACTGCTTAATTACTGTGGAATCACATCACAGACTGCTTAATTACTGTGGTATCACATCACAGACTGCTTAATTACTGTGGAATCACATCACAGACTGCTTAATTACTGTGGAATCACATCACAGACTGGGTAATTACTGTGGAATGATCATTGTTCATGGGGGACCAATGTTCGTGGATTTTGTGTATCACTCTTACCCACAAATTTATATATATAAATTATCCACAAATTACATCCCCACAAACCAGTCAATTTTGAATGCCCAAGAACATTGACACCAATGAATTGAAATAATTCTACAGTAAAGAAAACACTTGGAACTTGATGTAAATAGAAATGCCTTATTCCATCATCCAAAACAACCCCTAATGTAAATAACTTTACAAAATTAATTTTACCTGCATGCTGTCTAAGTAGATTTCTGCCCGGAGTCCCGCTGCCCACAGATCTCGAACAATTGTCATCCTCTCTTTCAGCATTGGTTTGTGTCCAAAAGTAGTACATACCAAAATGTCATAGGCGCTTGGAGGATTCATCTGTAAAAAAAGTAATTAGTATACTTTTTCTTTACATTTTCAAAGTGAAATACTTTTATTTAATGTTCAATAAAACCTCACAGTGTGAAAATATCAACTGGAACATGATTTCATGGTGAAACATTCCCTACAGACAGCAACAGTGAAAATAAACCATCCTGTCACTGAATAAAACAGCCAAAATTTCTCTAAATTGCTCTTAAAATCCATGTTTACAATTTCTGATGTCACATTAGCTTCTTTTTTTCAGTAAGAGAATGGCCCAAAATATTTGTCTGAGATATTTGTGACAAATTTATAAAAAATGTTACATTAATTCTCTCATATTTTAACTTTAAAATTGCCATTAAGTTAAAAGAAAAACTATCTAATTGTAACTATATATATATGGTAAAATACACTTAGGTAAAACAAAACAGATAATGCTATCTGATTTGAATTCACCCCATTTTAAATTCGCCCACTTGCAACGAGGGCTGAAGGGGTGAAAATAAAAGGGGGGGGGGGGCAAAAATTCTCTGTATACAGTAATAACAGGACCTTGAGGGCAATTTCTGTATTGAACAGAAATCCACTTTATCTACAGTGTTGTTTTACATTGACATACCTCTCTAGATTCCAGTACTGCTATAACAATCTTTTCAAACGCAATGCTGACCCCAACTCCATGTACAGAGGTCTCCGATACAGGCTGGGAGAGAGGAGAATAAAACTGTTTGATCTGAAAAACAAAAAAAAAATAAAGAATCAAGAAAATGCTATATCTATCCATTATACAAATCTATTAGTTTAATACTAAAATCACAGAACAGTTCAGTATAAGGATTATACCAAGTTGTCATAGCGACCACCCGCTGCCAGAATATCTGGAGAGTGGTGCTTTTTCATTTTGCTGTCCACCATTACTTGGAATATCATTCCTGAGAACTGGTGTGTATTGTAAACAAATCCCAGAGACATAATTACCTGTAAGCATATGGGAAACAAACACTTTTAATGATCAATAAGGCTATTTGAACTTTTTCATGGACGTTGGCTTACTGCATTGTTAGTGATTAATACAAATCAGACCCGTAGGAATGCAGTATATACTTTACTATAGAAAACAAAGCTAATTTACAGTTCTGCCTCCTCATTTATTTTGGCAGTATATACCAAATATCAGAAAACAAAGCTAGTTTTGGTTGTGCCCCCTCAAAAATGTTTGATGACCTTTTTTCTTTGTTGTTACCCCCCCCCCCCCAAAAAAAAAACAACAAAAAACAAAAAATCAAAACCTGAAATTGCTTCCTATGGGCCTGCATAATGAGAAGAACATGAAGAAAATTGACGGCATTGTTAAGAACCAAAGTGTCTTTGCATTCTTTATTAAAATTCATAATTTCATTATAAACTACTGACTTAAAATGTGGATCATACTTACAGGAAGTTTAAGGCCTAGCGTCTGCAGATTACTCAGGATAATCTCCAACTCATGCAGGCCTTGCTTGGCTTTTGTTGCAGCCTAAAACATTTTTCACATACTGGATTAATGTTCATTTCACGCAACATTTAATCATTGTTAAATAATGACAAATAATAAGTCTGCCTACCTCCCCTCTGGTTTTGGTTATACATCTTAAGTAACTGGCCACTTTTCCATAGTTTCCCTCCATTTCTAAAATTCCCAGCAGTGAGGACACTGTCTGGTCATTCAGCCCCAGGGAGGTAAGAGGTTTAGATATGTTCTTATGATGACTGAGCATCTACAAATTGAATTTTTTTTCTGTAAATATCACTCCATATAACAATCACTAACTTTGCAATAACATTCTCATGGACCAAATGCACAGAATAATAAAGCAATTCTTATGAATCCATTCTGCCAAATGACACAAAAAACTCAGCAGTCTGGAGTAGAAAGTTTGTGAAAAATTTCTACATCTAACCTTGACCCCTGAGAGTATGTGAAGAACATCAGTAAACTGGTCCCCTGGTACACCACAATGTTGTAAAATGGCATGTAGTATCATCACATGGTTGACTTTTATGTAGTAGTTCCTTTGCTGAAATACAAAAGGATGATGAATTGACATATTTTTGTCTGACACAACTTAGCTGCAATAATGTAGGCCTTTTCCTTTTCTTGTCTCTCCTAAAAACATCGGATTAAACAAAGGGGCTACATTATTGCAGCTAGACACAACTTTGAAATCTAATTTTGAGCTGATTTTTGTTACCTGTAAAACTGGAAATTCAGAAATAATTTCTTGAACAAGCAGCACCACTTCAGCATCAGGGATAAGACTACAATTACAAAACAAATCCTACAGTATATAACAGCAATATTCACTGAGTAGGCAAAAACATAATCATCCACAGAATTCACAGACAAACTTGTGGCTACATCAAACTGAATTTGCTAATTGTCATACAACCTGATAGTTAAATTTGCAAACTGTTTTAGGACTGTGTCCAATAAAATAATTAATACAACCTATCACTGAGTCAAATGCTGACTGATGTTTTTCATACCAATTCTTGGGCCATTATTTATACACTGAACTGTCTACGGATATTTCTGTTTTTTTCCCCCGATTATGGCAAGGAGCAAACGGCAGGTGTGACCGGTCGGTAGGGGATGCTCACTCCTCCATGGCACCTGATCCCACCTCTAAATTTTGACGTCTTTGATGTGTTTGCTCTGCTCCAAATTTGTATCGTTTCATTGGACTTTCGAGATTGAATACTGTTCGTTATTTTCATATTTCATTGATGTACATTGTACCAACAAATTGGATTGAGTCAAGTTAATGGTAAAGTGGCAAGTGGGGCTCATTTAAACCTGTGGTTTTTGATATGATCTATAATCAATTAATCTTACCTGCCCAGGTTTGGGGTAACTATATCAAAGACACATTCAGTTAGCTCCCTTGGATGCTGACCGTAGACTTTTTTCTCCCTGAAAACTCTCTCTATACAGTACCTCTTGACATTACTGCAATTGTGACGAGCAACATATCTGACAAACGGAATCTAAAAAGAATTGAGAAATCATAACAATCAATTGTTGACATTCTATCAGTTTAACAAAGACAATTTTTTTTGAAAATTTACTTTTACATTTGTTTACATACAACTTGTTACATGCTTTCATAGAACATTTTACTGTAAACCAACTATTATTTGCGTCATCTTTTATTCGCGAATCGTCAGTTTAAAATCAATCTGCGACAATTACTTTCCATGACTCAGGAAACATTCTCTACAAATACAAAGCAAAATAAATGGTTCGCCGTGATTAATATTCGTGACTTAATGTTGGTTGCAAAACTTGCAAATATTTCTTGCATGCAAATAAAAGTTGGTTTACAGTATATAATCCAGTTTTTACCCTGAGATCAAATGGCAGTGATACAAGGTGACCACAATGGTCCATAAATCGTGTGTATTGATCAGATTTTGCATACAAGTCACACTTGGGCATCAGGAGGGGTGTGGTCACCTTCACTGCTCCATGATGCTGGAAGATCCTCACCAGTGTTTCCTGGACTGACTCTTGAACCAGTGAGATGTTGATTGTGAATTTACTCTGAAAGAATCACACATTTAAACTTAAAGTTCAAACAATAACTTAAAAATTATATGCAGTCAAACCTTTTAGATCATTTTGACTGGACTAAGGAAAAATTTCATGATGTCTGAGGATTTGAGACATTGAGGTTAAAATGCATAAAGAACAAGTGGTTGGGACTTTTAACTCACTTTGACATATCTATGATTTTCAAGATATCAATATTTGAGATACATGTACCTAGGTTAAAATGTAATTAAAAAATTCAATTCTAAAATCTTGACCTAATATAAAAACAAAGTCAGTACTGAAATCTATGCTTAAAAAAAATTACTCTTTCTCAACAAACCTTGAAAAATTCACTATCAAACAGCAGATCATCAGCAGCATTGACAGTCTGGGAGAACAGGGCTGTCAGCATGTGTCTGTAAGCTTTACTGAGAGGATCAGCAATGGTGGATCTAAGGATTTCATCTAGTTCCTCTTCCTCCATTTGTGGAGGGGGTAGGTATTCTGACTGTAATAGCTCTTTTGTGGAGGCTCTCTTTGTAGGGTCATGGTTCAACAGCCACTTAATTATGTGGGTCTACAGAAAAACAACATCTACATATGCTTTTTTTAAAGGAATTAATGTCTATTTTTGGTGTTTATGAAATAACACAATATAACCTACCAATTCAGAATGGAGGCAATTGTCTTTGTTGCTAGATAATTACATGGTTGTTGCTTAATACTTTCATGATTTTTGCTAGTTACTTGATTGTTGCTGATACTTTTCTTGATTGTTACTAGATACTTAAATGATTGTTACTAGATACTTACATGATTGTTGCTAGATACTTATATGATTGTTGCTAGATACTTACATGACTGTTGCTGATACTTTACTTAATATTGCTACTAGATACTAACTTGATTCTGCAATTCATACTGATTAAAGTCTTCAGGGAACTTGATTTCTGGCAGCCTTAGGTTCCCCAGGATCTTCACTCTCTCCATTCCTGTGGCCAGTGGCTTGTAGCACATTTCAAAGAAGATTATCCCTAAGCTGTACAAATCTACTTTCTGGGAAACAAATATAAAGAAATGCATTAATTTTCTTCAATAAAAAAGATATTTTTATTTATATCATATCCTATATAAATGAACAACAATCAAGTAAACATTCATGCATAAGATAAGGAAAAATAAAGAAAATACACATGCATTTCTGTAATATTCCCTTGAATTTTAATTTATTCAGTTTTTTAATGACATACTCAATTTTTTGGTAAATTTCCATTACAAATTTTAATTCAACATTTTATCCTGGGACTGATCTCTCTGTCTCACACACTGACCTGACTGTACACGATTTTACTGGCCCCAGTCATCATCTCGGGACTGACATAGAGGGCGGTACCCACTTTTCCCGTCAGACTCCCATCCCCTGTGGTTTCTGAGTAAGATTCCATTGTCTCCTCAGTAGCACTCAAGGTCAACATCTTCACATCTAGAATGTTACTCTAGAAAAACAGCCCAAAACGTTCACAAGACTAAGAATATGAATAATTGATTTTGATGTTGTTTGATACATAACAAAGATGCAAGAATTTTTCAATGTAAGAAATGAGCTTTGCTAATTTAATAAATACATGTATAAGAATGCCCATTTTGACCTACCAAAGGTAAAATGCATTTACCATTAATATAAAAGAAATCAGTACCTTGTTAATAATACTGGTAGTTGCAAGACCAAAGTCTCCAATTTTCACTTGGTCGTTGGAGTCCAAGAATATGTTGACAGGCTTTAGGTCCCTGTGTATCATTCCCTGAAAAAATTACAAACATCTGGAGTTAAGATCTTGATGGATAGTACCAACCTTTAAAGAAGCCCCATTTGAAGTAAATTAAAGATATGTTACTTGTTCATGGATGTGAGTCAATCCTTCGATAATCTCCCTGAAAAGTCTCCACACACGATTCATGTCCTGGTACAGACTGGCGTCTATACAATTCCTCAGCGTACTCTTTTCACAGTACTCCATCTATCAAATAAAATAACCATCTCTTGTTATGCTTTACAATAAGAACTTTCTTCTATTCTTTTCTAGCTTATTTTTGTAAGATATGATTTTTATGGATAATCATCTACCATACTAATGTTATACATAGTATACATATATTTCAAATCTCCTTTCTAAGTAAATATTTTATGGTTTATACATTTTGTTATAGTAAAAAATAAAGTGAAGAGTGATAATCAATGTCTGCCTCTCACCTGAATGTAAAGATAATGAAGTTTAGGGTTGAGAGCAGATTCATCTCCTTCCTTCTCATTTTTGTTCTCTCCATCAACCTACAAGACAACAGAGTATTAAAACTCTCCATAATCCCACAACAGAGTATTAACACTCTTCATCATCCTACAAGATAACAGAGTATTAATAATCTCCAACAGCCTATAAGACAACAGAGTATTAACACTCTCAATCAGTCTAATATGAGACATTAAAGCATTAACATCAACCTACAAAATAACATCAATTATTAACACAGCTAGGTACCAAATTTTGTCATTCTTGTCTCACATCCCCATGATAAAATTAGGATAAAAAATGACAAATAAAATTCAGACTGTGTTGCCTTTACCTGATCCCCTGATAAGTCCTCATTATCCAGACTTTGTATGAACACCACATCTTCTGACATATCTGTTAGCCTCCTGGTAAATGATCAAAATATTTTTAAAAATTTAAAACAAATTGAATAGCTCCTTCTTCAACCAATTTCATACTGTTGTCATAAGAAGGGTGTATATGATGAAGACTGCAGACTTACAGTCTGAAAAACATCTTATTGAAATAAGATGATTTTAAAAATGTTGTTCCTAAAAACACAACTACTTAAAAAAAACACATTCATTGGTGATACATGTAGTATTCCTACAGCCAATAGGACAAATAGCAACAAATTCAAATTCTGGAATGTGGGAACATTACATTTAAAATTGATATTACAATGAGCAATGAAAATCTCTTACAGGAAGGACGTCCCGAAAACGTCAGCTTCGTCTTCTTCATCCTCCTCTGAGTCCCATCCTGGATTGATGATCGCAGAGTATGACCTGCTCCACTCGACCGATTCCTCCACGGTCTCTGGAGCCAGCCTCTCGGCATTATCCGTCAGGTCTAGGCTGTTGTGGACTTTGTCGGGGGTTTTCGGGGTGGATCTAGGTGTGGTGCTGTTTGAACTGGAACTCTCACTGTGGGCAGGGTCATCGCTAACCTCAATCCAGGAATTAAAGTACCTGTCCAAAAATGATGATCAATTAGCTCAGAAAATTAAATGATTTCTTCTACCAGCTGTTTTACATACAGGTGTATCATTTGAAAAGACCAGTAAATTGTATATATGTCAACCCTAAACACGTACTTTTCTTGATAAACCATTATGGTGTTAGAATTGAAAGCTGTGGTTATTTAGAAATGTGTATTAAAATGTATTTTGCATTAGTCTGTATTTGCCTATGACCCATTTACCTCTGTTAATTTATTACCCGGTAGTCCCTATTCACTTTTATGTTTGTACCTGTAGTGTTCCTGACTTCATGCTGACATGGTACAGTAAAACACTTATAATGAAGTGCCAGGGACAGACGATTTTGCTTCTTTATAAGCATAATTTGTTACATCCAATAAGTTTACTATATATTTTATAGTCACAGGGAATGAAAATCACATCACTAAGCATCAGTTCATCATACGTGTGTTCCCTATTATCCTGTATTACTGTACCTATGAATACTGAACTGAATGAATTGTAAAATTTTTACTATTTCAATACTTAACAATTCCTTTCATGTACCTGACTACATTCTCATGGTTCAGCCTTGACAACAGTTTGACTTCTCTTGTAATTTTCTTATTGAACTGTTTACTCTTTGGGTTTAATGGAATTCTTTTGATGGCATAAAACCTTCTGTCCAGTTTATTTCTGACCTATTGAAAACAAATGCCATATAAAAAAACATAGTTTATCAACGATAACAAAACTCAACGAATCTTATATATATTTATACCCCCCACTTGAAAAGCGGGGGTTGTGTAGTGATAGGGGTGTCCGTCCGTCTGTTAAGATTTGGGGGTACACATCTCTTATCCGCAACTCCTCTTATACCATCTCTTATACCACCGAATGAGACTTTCACAGAATCTTTGTTACATAGTGCCATTGTGACCTCCTATTTTACTTTTTTTAAACTGACTCATATTTTGGGTTTCCAATAGCAAAACATAGACACTGCCATTCTTTCTATAATATTGAGGGGTACCTATCTCTTATCCGCAACTCCTCCTATACCACTGAATAAAATTTAGTGATACTTTCACAGAATCTTTATTACATAATGTCATAGTGCACCTCCTATTTTATTTTTTGATCAGAAACTTATTTTGGATCTCCTATGGCAAAAAATGGACTTTGCCATTATAAATATATGGGAGGCGGGGAGTATCATTTTGTGAGCTCAGTGCTCACAGTACCTCAAGTTAAAATTAGGCAAAGTCTCACATCAAGCGAATGTTCTGGTACTATGCATTCAAAAATGCAACAATGCAAGTCTGGTCTGGGTAGGATTTCTAGCTAGTTGGGAATGGACTTGCTTCAAGACAATTTTCTGTTTCAATAACTTAGAAAATGTAAGACAGATTCAGCATCCTAAGCAAAAATATAAGTCTTTGTCATTAATTTTATTGTATTAAAGAGTACCTACATGTACTGATCCGACTTTTTTAAAAAAGTATTCTTATTAGCAATAATTACCGTGATTAATACTAATGGTGATAGACAGATTTGTACCCAAAATATGTTAGCATATGGTGATAGGCAGGGGAATGACATTAAAACAGGGTTCTATACAGCAAGGAAATCAAGACTTTGGATTTTTTTTTTGGCGGGAAGCAAGGTGGCATTATAACAGGGGGAAGGGGGGGGGGAATTGTTTTTTTTAAAGAAATCTGCTCCGAAAACTTTTATTTGATATGCTGAGGCTAAAGGTATTACATGTACATAACCTTACCCAAAATTGTTATTTTATCTAATGAGCTAGAAAAAGTTTTATAGTTGGAGAATTTTTTTTGCACCTTGATGACATCACCAAATCCTCCCTTGCCTAGGGACTTGAGAATCTCAAACTCATTTGTCAGACGAGATTGCCCACTGGCCTCGTATGGCGTGATCAAAGGTTGCTCCTCATCAGAAGAATCATCTATAAATCAATAAAACAACAGTGATATCACAAATCTTAACCATAAACATGCATAAATTTGTGTACTCAAAACTTCCCCTTCAAATGATTAGCATGATCATAAATCAGTGCACTTAAGTCTTTAAAATTACATGATTAGTTTTAAACATGTTTCAGATTTTACATGTTGTGCAAGAATTGGCAGACAAGACACAGCACAAAAGCTTTTAAGGCACTAAATTATGATTACCCCTAAAAGAAGTATGTTTATAGTAGTTTATCCAATATTCATACATGTACATGTATTACGAAACATTTGAAAGAGTTTAATACCAAGTGTACACTAAATCCTATTTTTCATGTCTTCATCTCCTATGACACTACAAGTAAGGGACCTCTTACAGGAAACTTCCTTGTGAGTTGACTTCTACAATACTTCCCATGTGAGTGGACCCCTACTACACTACCCATGTGAGTGGACCTCTACTATACTTTCCAATGAAAGACCACTACTCTACTAAACTGTGAATGGACCTCTACAATGCTACCTTGAGTGTGGACATCTACTACACTACCTAATGAGTGGACCTCAACTTAAGTACTTTGTGACTGGATCTCTTATAAGATACTACTCTTATAGGATATAACTTGTGAGTGGATTTTTACTACACTGCCTTGAGAGTGGATCTCTGCTACACTTCCTTGTAAGTTGACCGTTCACGGTAGCTCAGTCGGTAGAGCGCTCGCGCCGTGATCGGTAGGGCTGTGTCAATATATCGAATATTCAATACGTATCGATATTCAGGATTGTATCGTATCGAAAAAATAACTTCCAATATGTATCAGACAAGCAGTTTTCCTTAAAATTCTGTAAAAAAGTTGGGAATTTCAGTTACCAAAGATTATTTTAACTGTTTTGAATTAAAACTGGTCAATAATGAAATAAACATTAAGGAGATAGCACATCTTAAATAACTATTACAAAATACATAGACAACTATATTTTAACATGTTATGTTAGACTCACCTAGTTTTTATTAAATTTATGCATTAAATGTCATTTACAAGACATTTTTGAAAGACTTAATAAATAATCCAATATATCGCATATCGCTTTATAAAATATAGTACAGTACCTTGTGAGTTGACCTCAACTACAGTACGTTGTAAGTGGACCTCTACTACAGTACCTTGTGAACTGACCTCTAGTACACTACCCTGTGAGTTGACCTCAGCTACAGTACCTTGTGAGTGGACCTCTAGTACACTACCCTGTGAGTTGACCTCAACTACAGTACCTCGTGAGTGGACCTCTAGTACACTACCCTGTGAGTGGACCTCTACTACACTACCTTGTAAGTGGACCTCTTCTATACTTCCTTAATAGTGGACCTCTTCTATATTACCCTGTGAGTAAACCTCTTCTATAGTTTCTACTCATATAAGATAATACCTTGTGAGTGGACCTCTTCTATACATGTACTACCTTTTAAGTGGACCTCATATAACACACTACCTTGTGAATGGACCTCTTGCTGTGTCTCGGGTTTGGAAATAGGCAAGCTGATAGGAAGTGCTGTTTTGATAAAGCTGTGGTCTAGTAACTGGTGGACAGACCAGCGAGTCTTGTCATCCTTAATTAGACATCTAAATGATAGAGGTTATGATAACATTAATGAATTCCCTTTTATCTTCATCTCTTTGATAACATGAAGTTTAAGAAAGCCTTTAAACTTACATGCACTAATAACTTGTTGAGAAAGAATACAATACTTTTTTTTGCACTTTGAATTCCCTGACAACATTATTAACTTGAGGAAATCTTGCATAATTACATGTACATGTACTACTAACTTGTTTAAGAAGTCCTGGAAAGATGCTGGAAAGTGAGAAGGTATTTCTAGGTCTGATCCGTCTATATCTTCTCCAAGCGCAAGTGACAGCAAAACTAGACCCTACACAGGCAAAGACAGAGTATGATGACACAATTACAAAACTAGACAGGCAAAGACATAGAGTATGATGACACAAAAACAAAACTAAACCCTAGACAGGCAAAGACATAGGGTATGATGATACAATGAAGATACAATGATAAGTAGGAAGGATATTGTTTCTCATTTTGATATGTCATAATAAAAGGAAAAGAGAGAGATAATGGAATTATGTAAAATCTTTTATTTTTTTGAGGTCACTGGCACTTTGCTAAAAGCATTTTTCACTGTATTGGTTTGCAGAAATTTGATTTTGTGGTTGATGAAGAAACATGATACTGTTGTTTGAAATATTAACATTTGGTGGAAGACATGAATGTATGGCATCTTCATACCATGAAAGCAATGAAAATAAAATTCAACAAAAACTAGTGATTTTACAGTAACAATACATCAAACACTAAGACTCTTTACGGTGTAGTTGTCACTAGTTTGATTTACCGGTAAGTAAATCATGTACAGAGGTTGTATTCTTTAATTACATGAACTGTTATTAATGTATTTGTACCAGACTGTAGACGTCACCCTTCTTAGTGGCTCGGCCCTGGACAGGTCTATGGTCATCAAAGTGGACACCTGGTCTGGACTGCTCCAGAGAGTAAAATAAATCTGATAACCTACAAAAAGACAGACAGACAGTGACAACATTGTTTACATACAGCTTACAGTAACATTTCATGAACAGTGTACAATTTTTTCAGTGATCCATTGTTTAGTCTGTCAATTATTGCATTATGCCAACATCTACATATATATCCCATGAAGTTAAATGTATGAGAAAAAAACCCAAACATAATGTATGATTTTATTGTGCTACAAGTATATTGTATAAACAACATCACTGACTTTTATTTTTTTTACCTTCTTTCAATACTGTAGTCGGCAACTCGGATTCTGCCTGTGGCATCCAAAAAGATACTGGAAGCCTAAATGATAAGATTTTTTTCTGCGTACATAAGAAGTCAAGGAAACAAGAAAGACAAACGTTTAACATGTTAAAAATTGCTTATGTTTCTATTGGTAGATATCTACCCTGAGACTTTTATGCACCACATCTTTGTTGTGTAGACATGCTAGTGCCTCTAGGATTTCCTCTGTGTAATGCCTCAGATGAGCGACATGGACTGGCCGTTTTCTCCGGATGTTGACAGACAAACTGCTTCCACTACAGTACTCCATCAACAACTGCAAATAATCAAGACTGTCAAACACTGATCAGAAATAATAATACATATGGTATCACTACTGTAGATTCCTAAATGTAAGTGAGGAATTTATTCGTAATTTCACGAGTGGCAACACCCGCTTTTATTTTTTTATTGCTGAAAGCATGCACAAACTCTTAATAAACAGTCCACTTCCAAATTAATAATTGTCGTAATTTGATGTCTACGAGTCATTTTGTGATACAGTCAGATACTAAGTACTTGCATAAAATAAAGAATCTACAGTAATCACGTCAGAGGTACACTACAAGGGGATATCAGCATATCAATATGACCCCTCCGGTCCTAGCAAGAATTTTTACGAGAAAGAATTTTTTCCCATTTATTTCAATGTAAAACTTTGACTTCCGTTTCCTTGCCTCATCCTAGCCCCGAGAACCATGATTTGAATAAACTTGAATCTTTTCTGGCCAAGTGTTTCTGATGAGATTTTTTGAATGATCCCACAATACATGTACTTGGACTAATTCTCAAGATTATCTCCAATTTACAAAAGCATGGTCATTCATTTGAAAAAAACTTGAATTCCCTCCACCCAAGAAAGCTTTGTGCCAAATTTGGTTGAAACTAACTTAGTGGCAGAGGGGAAAAAGTTGAAAACAGACAGAATTAAGCCAGACACTCTTTGAACTGAAACGCTCAGCTGAACCTTTGATTCAGGTGAGCTCAAAATGGCAGCAAATAGATATGGTTATATGCAATTAATTCTGACACTTTAAATTTACTGCTACATCTTGCAATAACTTACAAAGACTGTGATTTTCCCTGGATCTTGCTGGTATTTGATGGCGAGATAATGAACAAGGTTGGGATGGTGTAAGCGGATCAGGGATAATAATTCTTGTTCAATACTGTTCACCTGGTACAAAAAAGTCCAACAAATCACATGGTTAATAGCTTTGGACACTTTAAATTAAAAAGGTGATAAATATAATGAAAAGTAAAGCATTCCTTAAACAGTTAAACACAAGCGAACATGCTTATAATGAATTAACACTTACAACAAAGTGATTTTCATGCCAATGACTTTAAAATGTACTGTGAACTTAACAGATATAACAAATTACATTTATGATGAAACAAAATTGTCCACCCCTGGCACTTTGTCATAAGCATGTTTAACTGTATATTGAACATGAAATGAAACTAAATCTTTACACCTCTGGCATAAAGAGGATCCATCAAAACAAAAGCCACCTATGCATGTATTACAAACTAAAATCCTTCATCAGAAAATGACAGTAAATCCTATGTCTTATTAAGCAAAATATACGCTTTAGCTGGGAAGTCAGGTAACATGAAGGAAATCGAGTTTGTGACTGATGGTGTGATTTGTAGTAAAATAAGACATTTTTACCACTAGCTTGGACTTTTTGTGTGTTGTTGACTTAAAACAATATGACCTAAGCCTGCCCAACTGAGTACAGTAAAACATGCTTATACATGTAGCCAAGTGCCACTGCCAAACAGTTTTGATTTGTTGTAAATGTGATTTGTTATATATCATAAGTTTGTAATATATTTGAAAACTACAAGGAATAAAAATTACTTTGCTGTAAGCATAGATTCATTAGAAAGGCATTGACTGTAGCAATGATTTACTGTATAAGCATGTCACTGTCCACTTATGTCTAAAATATGGATTAAATTGTACCAATAAGGACATGCCTAAATCCCCAAAAAACTCTATAACCTCTTTATTGAGGGGGGACAACCTATGTTGGGAGGGAACAATAATCCCACACCCATTTGCCTTATCCATCAGTGTTGAGAGGGGACATAACTAACCCAAACCTATCCCCTCTATGCTGGGAAGGGAGGAGGGGGATAACTCACCCACAACCGTTTGCCTTATCCCTTTTGTGTTGGAAGGGGACATAACTAATCCAAACCTGTTTGCCTTATCCCCTCTATGCTGGGGGGGGGGGGGGAATAACTTACCCACACCTGTTTGAATTATCCCTTTGGGTGTTGGGAGAGAACATTCATTATCCGAAACCCATTTGCCATATCCCTTTGGTGTTGGAAGGGGAAATTAATTATTCCAAACCCGTTTGTCCTATTCCTTCTATGCTGTGGGGGGGGGGGGGGGGATACATGTAACTAACCCACACTGGTTTTCCTTATCCCTTTGGGTGTTGGGAGGGAACGGAAAATTCATTATCCCACACCTTTGGTGTTGTAAGGGGTCATAACTAATCCAAACCTGATTGTCCTATCCCCTCTATGCTGGGGGGAGAGGACAATAACTAACCCACATCTGTTTGCCCTATCCTTTTAGTGTTGGGAGGGGACAATAACTAACGCACACCTGTTTGAGACAAGCTGCCCCCTCTTTGTCTTCATCTTCATCTTCCTTCCTCAGAAGTTTCTTTCGGCCATAATGTCGCCATTTTAAAACCCACTCAGATATTGTTACAAGTTCACCGGATGTTGTATCAATTCCAACATACACTGTATTTCCAGAAGATCCATGCCCTATTGAAAATACAACCATGATCATTGGTTCAACTTACAAATTCCACAGAAATATGGCTGAAATACTGTCAAATTGGTGTAAAAGAACAAACGATCAATCGATCAATTTACAAATGCAGGGTCTAACACTGAGACCTGCTTACATCAAATTAATTTGTAGTCTGTAAAGAAACAAGTAAATCAACCATCTCAGTCACAGTTTTAAACAGTCATAGATTATCATGAAACTCCTGAATCTCTGAATTAAGCAGTGTTAGCAACTATTTACAGGTGCTGTTTCAGAAATTCTTTACCGAGACAGGTGCCCCTGTGTACAGTTCTCTCCCCCTTGGTGTTAAATGCCAGGACAACAATGCCCCCAGTGTGATCCTGACAAACATGATCTTCAGGGGATTGTCTGCAGGGTGTACTTGTCCTCCTAAAATAAATCAGATTTAACGTCTATTTACTGTTGAACTTAAATATCTAGATCACTGAAATTACGGAAGATAACACTTAACCAATTCTGAAACAAAAAAAAAAACAAAAAACATAGTGTTTTTTTTTTCAATAATTTATTCTTTGATGACACAAACCTTTGTCTCCTTGGTTTGCTGTCCTTCATTTCATTGTTGGCATGAACAATAAGTGGGGAAGGGGACACAGAGTTCTGAGGTCGAGTGATCTTTCCTGGGGTTCCCACAGGGGAAATATTTGGCACAGAATCTGATGAAGGGGAGGAAGGGACAGAGAGAGGCCTCTCCTCAACCTTAAAAAATTATTTCTTCAAAAATAACATTCTAGATATTTGTACTAGAGAGATTCTGTGTACAGATCAACACATTTCTTAAAATAATCAAGGGTCATTTTAGAATTATCCACTCACTTGTTTTGTTTCCTCTTTTCTCTTCTTATTCTCTTCTTTTAAAGCTTCTTTCCTCCTCTGAATTTCTATCTCAAGTGTTTGTAACTATATAATGAATAGAGAGAAAAAATAAAGACCTAAAATAAACATTATTCAAAATCATATGTAATCAAAGATTATGAAGCTCATCTCGACAAATTTTATCTAATAAAACAAGGCAAAGTTTCACATCTAATGATCTGGTATATATGCAACATTTATATGCAACATTTATGCAAGTTCTGTCTGGGTAAGACTTATATTTAGTAACTTTAGAATAGACCTGCTCCAGAAAGTTTACCGGTTCCATCATCCAGAAAATGTTGTTAATCATAATAAACAGGTCTTATAAGGAAGTGTACATCTTTTAAAGATGCAACATCCATGCAATTTTGGTCCAGTAGTTATTTGGGAATGGACCTGCTCCAAACTTTTATCCTAGTCACTCATCAGGAAAATGTTAGTCAGATGCAGTATCTGATGTAAGACTGGTAGTGTGCATCCCTAGATGCATCATCCATGCAAGTTTGTGCCAGTATGACTGATAGTTACTTGGGAATGGACCTGCTCTAAAAACCTTAACTGGTAACTTGAAAATGTAGGTCAGATATAGCATCAGAAGCGAAATCTATTAGTGTACAGGTAGGGCTTATAGATACATGTACATGTACTTGGGAATGGATTTGCTCATGAAACTTTAATCTGGAATGACAACAACAGCTATGGGAATATAGCAAAAGCTTGTCTGAAATTTGTCATATTAATTTTTATTTCACTGAAATTATAAAGCTTTTTGATTGTAAAGTTTATTGATCAATATTTACATTTCCAAATATTTTTTCTTAATATTCTTTGCAAATTAGAATGCTGTTCATTTTCTCAGGAACTACCATGGATGAGCATGAATATCTCAATTGTTATGTCATAATGCCGTACTTGACGTCAAAACTATAGTGCAAACTGTTTTGCTTTAAAAATGACAGTTGAATGGTGAAATTTGTGGTAACTCATCAGAAAAATAATGTAAATATAAGAAATGAATTTAATTTTTGAAGACTCATGAGGTACATGAACTACAACGCTTCACGCTGGCATATTTATCATGAAGCGCTAACGCGCTTCATGAAATATGCCGGCGTGAGGCGTCGTAGTTCATGTCCTCATGAATCTTCAAAAATTAAATTCATTTCTTAAATATACACTTTTTAACTTACCTGGTACATGAAAAAACATTTTTTACAAAGGACACAATATTATTCATCCAATAAAGTACTGCATGTGTACTTAAAAAAGTGGGCTTCATATTTTAGCGGCTTCGACGGGAAAAACGATGCACTAATTCAAGAATACATGTACCACTATGAAATCATTTACTAATACAATACACGGCACGGACATGTGTAGCGCTAATTCATGATTACGCCAACAACTCCATACCCCTTGATTGCACTAAATTTTGAATACGCTAATTTATGTACACGTACAGTATGCCTGTGTGTTTTGCTTTACTAGAGTGATGTGACTATAGTTCGTAGTTGACTAAGAAATATGTTTAGCTTCTAAGAAACTAAAAATAATATGCTTATAGCAAACACGATTATAATGAATTGACACTTACAGCAAAGTGATTTCCATTCCCCATGGCTTTAAAATATACTGTGAACTTAATGGATATAACAACTTACATTTATAATGAAGCAAAATCGTCCATCCCTGGCACTTTTTTTTATAAGCGTGTTTTACTGTATAATGTTACATCTAGATTTCCTGTTTACCTCCTTTTCCTCTTTCCTCCTCAGCTTCTCCAGTTCTTTCCTCTGCTCTTCCTCTTTCTGTTCCTCCTGCTTCCTCTTGTTCATCATCATCTCCTCGTAGAAGGATTTGGCTGGGGGCTTGTTGTGTGCATGTAAAAACTGCTGTACATGCTGTGCTATTTGCAGAAGCATTTCCTGAAATAGGTAGGTAGGCAAATTTTGAAGCATTGCTGTTTAAAATAATGGACATTATTTCACTAATAAAAATATCTAACTTCATCCATACTTCTCCCTTGTTTTCTTTAGCTATGGCATCTATTTCTGACTTGAGATTGGATAGCTGGGATGTTGAAAGACCTTTGGCATTCGTGAAACTGAACTCAGGAACCCTGAAAAAACATCATCACAAGCATACTTGTACATTTACATAAAATTCAGAAAAGGGAATGCTAACAAATCGGTGGTAAGCCCTCAGTCTGACTAAAGCCATCCCCAGTATTCATAATTTGTTCCCCAACTTAGCAAATAGTGGGGTAGTGTGGGGTGGGGGTTAGTCAGATTCTGGTAGCCCCTAAATTTGATCCTTCATTCCTTTTTTAGAAGTAACTTGCCTTTGTCAAAAACTTTCACTGATGCAATAACATTTTACCATGTGTTTATACCTCCCCTTTTCTATGTTAATGTATTACTCACTCTTCTGGATATCTTGGAGGACATTTAACAAGCAGATCAACTTGTACATGGTTTTCTTCTTGGTGCCCTATGCTCTCCTGTGGTTTTATAGTAATCTGAATTTCAGGAGGCCTGGCAACCTGAATTAATCAAAAGGTTCATCATACTTAGAATATCGTGAACTAGTTTATATTCTGATGATGACGAGCAGATTGCAAGGATACTTACCTTCCAAGCATCCTTCTCTCTAAGATCCACCACATCACCTGTGAATATTGCCTGTAATGCCTGAAGTTCAAATTCCTGTCTCTCTGAAAGAGACTCTTCTGCCATTGGGCTTAACTGTCACTGTCAACCATTAGGTTGATCTACATATTGGAACACATATAGAATAAGAGAATGCCAAAAACAACGAACAGTTGGCATTTTTCATTCAAAGTTTACATGATTAAAAATTTTTTAGAATCCCATACCCGATTTTTAAAAGTTTGGTTATTAACTCGTACCTTATTATTTCCACTTCCAATCTTTGAAATAGATAAAACAATTTGAAATGTTTCCTGGATTTTGATCAATACGTTTGTGAGACGTTTTGTCTAATTTTTTAGAGAAAAATTAAGTATATAATTTTAAATTTACTTTAGAATTTTATTTTTCTCTTTAATGCTACTGAAACCCTGTCATAGATGCATGCATACCTCTCTCTCTTATTGGCCTTGTCAGGTAATACAGTATGCAAATACTTGCATAGCAGGATTAGTAACAAATTCATGAGATTAACCTTTATTCAGTGTTATATGTAAATCATAATTTTGGATAGTGAGTGCAGATTTCTAAATCTCTTACAATAAGATGACTACAGGTATGTTTACACTGGACTTCTAGTTCAGATTTATGCAATTTTGACAAACATTAGGCTTATGATTATCAGAAATTAAAACAGTCAATATTTTGATAATTTTTTTTTCTAACAAAATACAACACAGGAGATACAATTCATTCATCTTTATTTGCAATCATTCACTTGAGACACCTTTCCTTAAAGATCGACACTGAATCGAACAGAGATAATAGGAAAAAAAAAGATTTTTATATAAATGCATAAGTTCAGTTTCTTGCACTTTTTTAATGCGAAATTAAATGGCAACAATATTACACATTGTCCTGCACCAATGAACACAGAACCAGTATGTTTTCTAGTATGACTTCCTTCGATCACCTCTTGTGCTGTCCTTTAAAATAAAAGTCTATGCCTTTCTGTTGCTTTGGTGGAGATCCTCTAGACTTTGCACTTCCCTAGATCAAACAAAATTACATTAACCATCTAATATTATTGACCTCAACAGTTATTGTTTCTGACAACTTTATGACCCCCCCCCCCCTCCACTATTACTACTTATTTGAATCATACCCCTCTTCTTTGAAAAAAAAATGACAATGTGAATAATAAAACTTACTGAAGCCTTGTTATAATGGCGACTCCATTCTGGAGCTACATGGACAGGATTAGGGTACGTCTCCCCCAAGGTCACCCCTGCCTTCTCTAGCGTCCCCCTACTCAGTGTCCACACAATATGTACTGATCCTCCATGGATGTTCTTTAACTCAGGTACCCATGTCCTTACATACTCACCCTGAGATATAAATAACACTGAAATGTTATCAATATAACATCCACTGAAGGGTTAAGAAGGTTTTTTCTTTTGTTATTATTCCTAAGACATTTTCAACTGAAATACTGTGTCCTATTGATGCTGAATAGACAGATACAGTCTAACCTTGTTATATGAAACTCAATCAGACAAAGAAAAAACTTGGAGATATCTGAGGAATTGAGATATCAAGTTAAAATACATGAACATTGAAAAAGTTGAAGTTGGGACCTTTAATTCACTTGAACATATCCATGGTATTCCAGATAATATGTTTGAGATAAAGTTCAACTGTGTATTGAAACTGAGACTACAGAGTTGTATCAGATGCAGTTAATCTCTATCAGACTAATTTTTGAGTTTGAAATTCCTGTAGGACTTGCATATATCATAAAAAATATGTGTCAACCTGGCATTCCATTGTATATACTATATTCATAGAAGAGATCTAAGGGAAATATACTGTACCTCACTGTCATAATCAAAACCCTGTTTGACGACGTTAAACTTCCTGTCTTCTCTCGGGTCATTTCCGATTCCAGCACTGTATAACCAATTACCATAGTTACTGCAAACATCATGGTCAATCTAGAATTAACAAAATTCAAAAAATTTTTTTTTTTAAATTCATAAATACAATAGGACAATATTTAATGTGTGAATTGTTGAGGAACATAAACACAAAATAATGTTAGTACCAGCATTGACTCGAACCACTCTGCACCCAAACGCCAGTCTAATCTCAGGTCTTTTGTCAAAAAACTGGCAACATTCTGTAAAATTAAAACATAAAATTTGAAATGTAAAACTATAATTTACAACTAATATATTTCAGATTTAAGAGCTCAATCTTCACTGATCACCATCCTACCTGCCTCCCTCTGTTGGACATGAAACCAGTGGCTGCCATCTCCCTCATGTTGGCATCAACAAATGGCACACCAGTTCTTCCCTCTGCAAGAAAGAGACAATTTTGTTTTCTTACTTTTATTCTTTATATGTTTGAATTTCAATGCCCTATTTTCAATTGGGAATCAGAACTAACCTTTCCAAGCATTGAACAGGTGCTTGTCCTGTTTCCATCTGATATTCTTACTTTGGATACCTGAAAAAGCCATGCACTTTCAAAAACTGATTTTCAGGGGAGCACATATTTTAAGACATATTAGTAAATTAATGTAAGTAAAACAGGATACCATCCTTACCTCCTTCATAAAAGATCTGATTTCCATATTTCACGGCTACATATCTGAAATAGTCCCTCCAGATGAGTTCAAACAGGACCCAGTATGTAGATTGATTGGCTGTTCTCTCATTCTCATACCGCTTCACCTCCCAGAAAATATAACGAGGAGACAAAGAACCAAATGCAAGCCTGAAATCGAGTAATTTGTTATGAAAATTAGCACTGCCATCCATTCTCAGTCACATCCTTTTAATTACAGTCCATGAAAAAAATATTTGTAAAGCATGCAAATTCATAAATATTCCTTTTTTAAATCTTACAATGAAATAATTAATTTTTATCATACCAAACTGAGAATTTTGTAGAGTAGTCTGCCCCTAGCATACCATTCCTAGTCTCTTTGTAGGTGGCGATAGCATCAGTGTCCCACAGATAGTGGTGGAGTCTATCTAGGGCCACAGATTCTCCTCCATGAAAGTCCACTACTGACCGGGGGTCAGCAGGTGAATCTTTAAAAAAAAAACATTACAGAATGGAACTAGCTGAAAAATCAATTAATGCTCATCTATTAATCAATGCTATACTGATCATAATTATAACTTTATGAAGAAAATTTCCAAAACATTTAAGTGATTTGTATCTGTAAATCACTTTTTATTCACGAGAACTTCATTTCTGTGTATATTTAATTCTTGTGTATATTTGTATTACTTTAGATTATAATAGAACAATAACCAGACCTTGCCAAAATTACAAATACCAAATGACCATTTCATGAAAATAAGGTGAACTACAGTATAAATAGAAGAATATTATCATGCATATTTCACATGAATGCATCTAGCTGTTTTTGTATTTCTGAGGGACCATTTCATGCCATGACACATGTATGCCTCGTTTCAATTCCTTAGTATTACATGTACTTACTTTGAGAAACTTTGACACTTAGACTAAGAATCAAACTAATGCTCAGTACAACAATTTACTACAGTCAAACCTTGTTATCTCAAATTTGATGGGACTGAGAAGAAACCTCAAGATATGGGGTTGGGGGGGTTGGGGGTTGGGGGGGGGGGGTTCGAGATATCAAGGGTAAAAAAACTTAAAGAATAAGTGGATTGGGACTTCCAAATCACTTTGAAATATCCATGGTATTTGAGATATCAGTGTTCGACATACTGAGTTCAACTGTATTACCTTCTACCCCAAGGTCTTTATTTGTGGGGATATCCCCCTCCTCTACACCTTGTGGTAAAGGCTTGAAAGACTCTGGCATGCCGAGACATTTCCTGACAGGTGCCTGCGCTTCCACTCGCTTCCTGAACTGTGTGTAAACATCTGGTGTTCTGTAGACATAAAGAAAATATGTCATTTGTTTTCTAGAAAAATAAGTCTATCATTTACAGTAAAACTTGTCTAATCTTGACACAACTGTTCCATAGGAAATTTGCCATATAAAACAACATTCCTGATTAAACAACATTTTAACAACTGAATTTCATGAAACGGACGTGAAGTTTTAATTGTAATAGGCAAGATTTTTGGAATAAACAACATTCAAAATAGGCAAACATGGATATTAACACTCACTGAGTAGGCGAGAAGGGGAGATCGTCTTTGTGATACAGGGTATGACCCCAGAAAGTTTGAATGTTCACACCACAACATTTCCTGATAGACTTTTCAACATCCACTTCCTCTTGAGTAACCTTAAAACAAATAATACTTGTAAATGTTACAGAATAGATATTGTGAGAAAAAAAAAATCTTTTTTTGTGATAAAGATGATTTGCTTTCAACTACAAATTAAAGAGAAAAAAAAACCTCAACAGTAAAGTCCAAATCTTTTTTTTTTGCTCTTAGGTAAAGGAGCACTCCTTCTCAATACAGGAATACATGTAATTTTATAATCCTTTATTAACTTCATGAAAATGAGGCTGATTACTGGTTAAAAAAGAAAAGAAAACCTCCTCATGGAACACAATGGCCTGAACTGAACTTTGACCCAAAGTGTCAATCATTTTCTTAAGCTCCTCCTCTGGTTTCCCTCTTCTCACAGCAAGGCCACTAAAACAGCATTAAATAAAATTTAATGTTTTTTGCTGCTCTAAAATCTTCTCATTTAAGGAAAATTTTAATTACCTTCTACTAAGAGGGATAACTCTAAATAGATAAATGACGGGGCTTTTTGTACATGTATTGATTGTGTGTTGTGTGTTGTTTTATGTCCCGTTCGAGAATTTTTCACTCATATAGAGACGTCACCATATACCAGTGAAGGGCTTCAAATTTAGACCTTTACTCGGCACTCATGATCGAAATCATTGAGAGTGAGAGTTCGTTATTGTGCCAACACCTACTGTGACACAGGGCCTCGGTTTTTAAAGTCTTATCCGAAAGACCCCCAACTTTCACTCCAAAGTGCTGAGCGCTTGGCAAACGAACAGTTGCTACCTATTTTTATTGCCTTAGGTGATTCGAACACACCACCTTCTGATCACTGAGCTACATGTTAATTAAATTGTACATGTAAAATAACACCTTCAACTGATTTCTTAGATTTTGTCTCAAATGATATCCTTTTGTTTCTTCATTTTTGTTGAACACAATTTTTTTGTTGTATTTAGGGTTAAGCCAGTCTAGACTACAAAATAATCAACGAACTACAAATTTTACTAAAAAAAAGAATAGGACAAGATAGCTTTCCACAATGTTACAGATCAAGAAAATTGTATTTTGTGCCAAAACCACAAAATTTGCCCCCCCCCCCCCCCAAGAATAGAAATAAAAAATATCAATAAAAAAGTACTTGTGATTGCAACAAATCTGCTTCAGTATCATTATCTCCATCATCTGCTTGGAAATTGCCATAAAAACAGAAAAAAAAATCTTTCTGGTTAGCAGAAATCCATCCTCTTTTAATTAAGAAGCCATTCCTCAACATTATACTGACCTGCCCTTTAGTTTTAGATTCTTTCTGAGGTCTTGCACACTCTCTATCAACATCTTAGTCCTATGTGGTCCTGTCTTCGGAAACCCAAAGTGGTAGGTACCTCCAAAATGACGGGGGTCAAATATGTACATTGGCAGGACAAAATCAGCATTTCTGTTGGCCCACTGGAGCACCTGGTAATGCATTCAGAGTTTTAAGGGGTTGTGTATAAATTATGCTGAACTAGGGATAACGTTAATGATCTGATCTAATCCTTGAGGATATCAAGAATACTGAAATATTGAGCAATACTATAATGATTGATTTATGGTGAAAAAAAAATTGTGAATGAAAAAAAAATATTCCTATTAACACAGAAATAAATCTCGAAGCTTTCTCAGCATTGGATGAGGTATACTTAATGTTGGGATGTGATTTAACTAAAGGACTTACTACTTATTAAAATACTGTAAAAGTCAACCGGTTAAAATGAGATGAAACAACCATCTCTCATGTCAATTAGGCATACACTAAATATTTTTTTCCTCTCCTTATTAAATATTGTGTGTTGTATTTCTTTGTTATCACAAGGGGATAACCCACAAGACACTGCCAAGACTGTAGAAAGTTCATATAGACTATAACAAGTTTAATATTTGTTTGGGGTAGGGGGTATCCTTGTGTTAAATAATTGATAATCTTCAGAGTAAATTCATCTTCAAATTATTTTTGTGTGCATGTCTGTGTGTGTGTGTCCATGTAATAAAATTCATATTCATGGCTACTTATTAAAAGGACTTGAATAAAACACACTAACATTGAAGCTGTAAAAAAAAATGTGATAACATTTATCATGTTTATGTTTTCCACTTTTTAAAAGACTCTGATATTGAGCTGAATTTTTTTTTGCATGCAAGTTTACCTTTATAAGTTATAAGTGAATTTTAAACTTTGAAAATCCCCATGATATTTTCAAAAGTTGGCATGTATGAAAGGTGTGGATGGGATTATTAATCTTTCCTGCACATAACATTATGACATATAACTGACAATGTTGACAAAAAATGTGGAAATGCCCCCATCCCCCCCCCTAAGCTTGAAGAAGACCCTCCCCTACCCCACCTCCTTCCATTGCAGAAGCCTGAGGAAGTTGAAGACAAAAATATTATCACTCTGGATAGATATGCATACAGTTTTTTATGCACATTACATGTATTATTACAAAACATTTACAAAATTCCAAAATATCAAATTCTTCTAATGACAAGGCTATTTATTAATAATAGGTTTTTACACTTCTGAAACTTTCAAACAAAAATATTAATTTATTAAAAAAAAAAAACAACAACACCGGTCTGTCTCTTAACTTGATTCAAGAAAATGACACACTTACACATGCACTAGAATCAATGCTTCATAAAATGTTACACTTTCATGCATTTTCCTACCTCATTGTCATGAATTCGTAAATCATTTCGAAGAAGACAAATGATTGTTTTGCCTCTGCATGCCATGATTTTTGGTTACGCAACCCTTGATGTTGTTCGTGCTCGGTGTTCTAGAAATAGAATATCGATCCCGATTAAATTATGACGGTCTATTAGTTGTGCAGGAAAAAAGATTTTTTACAAAATCAATAAACTTGTTTGTTCTCATCTATTAGATCGAAATTTGATAAATTTCATAAAAACAATTCTACTTATTTATTGTTCTTGATAGAAAAAAGAAGAAAAAACCTATATATAAGAATCCAACATAATTTCAGTTCCTCTCTCATGAACCGATGGTAGAGAGTGACATGTATATACTAAGCATAAAGGTCCCTGATAATTTTATGGAGCATTTGGAGAAAGCAGGGTTTTCATCAAAGCTTAGTTTCTGAATTAATAAAATAACAGTAGATTTATATTCATTTTTTGAAGGGGAAGGTGCAATTATTTTCATATATTTTGAATTGAATTTCAATATACAGTGTAGATATACGAATTAGATCATACATTCTGAGAGAATGCAAAATAGGGTTCTCTTGCATCGGAAAATGTCGTGACTAATATGTGTTTAAGCAAAAATTAAGTCTAAACAAACTGTTTGAAACATTTTTACATCATATATAGTTACTTGTCGTAGATACACTTGAATGAAACTTCGATAAAAAGATACATGTATTGTAGTTTGTAACTTTTTGTAGATTTCTATATAAAAAAAAATACATTTGAAAAACACATGTACTGTATTTTTCTTTTTTAATTAATAGATTTGATCAGGAGTATCAGATAATCACAATATTTAAAACCTCAGATTTCACCAGAAAATGAAAATAAAGTCCATTAATTAAGGATCAAAACAGCAGAACACGTCTATACAATTCCAATATGAATAGAATTTCAAACACAGTTTCATGAGCCACAAAAGAATGTTCTTTCAGCAAATATCGCTTAGAGGTCTCTCGACCATTTATCCATTAATTATATGTTACAAAATTATCAGTTAGATATAAAAATTGGTAGGAAGAGGACCCACGCAGTGATTGTTTGGTATAAACTGATAGAGAAAAATACCCAGAGACCTTTGTATTGTTAATTCACTGCTGGCTACACACAGTCAGTAGAGCAAATTAAAGCATTTCTCTTTCTCGATGACAAAAGTTTGTTTTTCACCCAAAGTCTTTATACTCAAAGGAAAGCAGATTCCGTGAAAACGATGCATGCATACGCAACATCACCGATTGTTTCTTTGAGTTTGTGCAGAGATATTGTTTGGGCAGACGGAACAAACGTATATCCATGTTTGTGTATAATTACGGATCGTACTGAAATCAAGACATTCATTACTGTATCAGTTTATCTCAATTAGCGGGACTTCTATCGCTTTTGAGAGATTTGGACTATAGTCCTGATTGATCTTTGTCCCTCAGGGTGTTCCCCGGTTAATAAACATCACAGATATATCAGTTCAATGTCCATCAAGTGGAATGATCACGAACACAGTCCCTACATTTTAGACATCTATATAAAATGATTCTGACAGTTGAAATAGAGAAATTAGGTACATACTGTAAGATTAAAATATGTCTTTAATCGCGGTAAACACATGGAAATGTTTTCATTTTCGTAAATAAATCGTCAGCTTCTATACTCTACATTTATCAAATACAGTAAAAAAAAACCCTGTCTGATCCGACACCTGTGCAATCCGTTTCACTGTGAATTCCGACCCTTATCTAAATCTCTATTTTTCTGTTTCTATGTTATTTAACACTGTGCAATTCGACACCCTATCTATTCCAACACAAAATTTGTCTCCCAGTGCATGTCGAATTAGACAAGTTTCACTGTATAGATATGAGGAAGTAAATATGGATGGTAATAAAAACTAAAATTATATCCTAAAAATTTTGCGAAATTAAAAATCTACAATGTATTTTTTTTTTCCTCATGCAATTTTAGATTTTTAAAGACCCAATTTTTTTACCGTACGGTTCCTTCATGTAACCTGATTCCCCAGCTTAAATGAAAATTTGTAGAGATATTTAAGGCATCATATGCGAAGCTTATTTTTTTGTGTGCAGATATCTGAAAGCTTCAGAGAAGATAGGCCTAAGTCCATTCCTTTTTTCTGGTTAGAAAAAAAAGGGGGCGCGAAATGCATTCTCTTTTTTGAAAGCAGCCTAGGAATGTGCTTTTTGAATGTTAAAAAAAGAGTTAAAGATAACGAGATTTGACTGTACATGTATATATATTTTTTTACCGGAGATGTGTAACAGTGTAGAGATTCATCTATTGTGGGAAACAGAAAAGAAAGAACTGTTCGGATATAACATTTTCAGATGATAAAAAGTGCCATTTAGAGAAGATTTCTCACAGTCATTCTACAAAAACGTGACCATATAAAAAAAAAATTAAGTTACAGTTGTAACATAATATTAATGATTCAAAAGATCGATTTCAACTCTAATACTAAACCTACATAGGTGGTTTTGTAAATATTTAATGATATACAATGTATATGCAGATTGAGTTATATAATATTTAAAGTTCTATTCCACTGCAAATCTTCATGTACAAGTTTTCTGTTGTCTATGCGTTGTACTCGTAAATCAGTTGCATGGAAAATTGAAAAAAAAAGTTTTTTCCTGTATAAAAAGAAGATAAACATCTTCTTGCAAAGAAATGCATGGATCCTGCTTCATACGAAATCATACAATGTAGTATGTCGAGAAAATAAATTAGCCATATTTTTGTTTTAAATTGCACACAAGCCATGCAGATCTGACGATGAACAGAAATTTTCTTAAAAGTGACCACGGAACCTAATATGATTGATTCTACTTTCGAGTCAGATAATTAAGACCATTACATTTTGGACATAACAAAATGATAGTCAAAAATAGTTGTCTCTCTTAAGACTTTTACTTCCATAACGGTGATCCAGGAGTGTCTTTGCATTTAAGGTATAATTTTTATATAATTATTAGGTCACCTGAGTAACTCAGGTGACCTATTGCTATCTGTTTTCGTCCGTCGTCGTTCATCGTTCGTCGTCCGTAAACTTTTGAACATTTTCTGCTTCTTCTCTGGAACCACTGAACCAATTTCAACCAATTTTGGTATATAGCATCTATAGGTGAAGGGGAATAAAAATTGTGAAACTCATGGCCCCTGCCACCCCCTCCCCTCCTTGGGGCCTGAGGGATTGGGCTAAAACCATCAAAATTAATGCAATCTTTAAAAATCTTCTTCTTTGCCCTCTGAACATCAAGAACTCAAAATATTGGCATGATTGTAATAAGCATTGAGCCCTCTACCAAAATTGTGAAATTCACGGCCCAGGGTCAGGGGTTCTGGTGTCAGGGCCGGGCTCTGTTGAACATATAGTGAAAATGCGCTATTTATTAAAAAAATCTTCTCATCTGCTCCTAAGTATTAAGTAAACAAACTAAATGCATAGTTATGATGAGCAAGGGTGCCTCTTTCAAAATTGTGAATTTCATGGCCTTTGGGTCAGGGGTTCTGGTGCTAGAGCGGGGCTCTGTTGATTATATAGTGAAAATGCATCAATTCTTTGAAAATCTTCTTCTCTGCTTCTGGGTATTAAGCTGATGAAACAAGTGCATAGTTATGATGAGCAGGGGTGCCTCTTCCAAAATTTTGAAAGATGTGATCCCAGGGTCAGGAGTTCCGGGGGGGGATTTATTATATTTTGAATGATTGAATTGATGCTTTGAAAATCTTCTCCTTTGCTCCTTGGTAATAAGCAAACAAACTAAATGCATACTTATGATGAGCAAGAGTGCCTCTTCCAAAATTGTGAATTTCATGGCCCCTGGGTCAGAGTTTCTGGTGTTAGGGCGGGCTCTGTTGATAATATAACGAAAATGCATTAATGCTTTGAAAATCTCCCCTGCCCTTGAGTATTAATAAATATGCCCCCTCTCTACTTTTGGGTATCTAGGTCACATACAGAGTTCAAAATTATAATGTAAACAAATGAGAGTTACTCCCCTTTCCTGAATTGTATTAATCAAGAAATCCCTTTATATAATTTAATTAACAGGCTATTTGATTGAATGAGAATACAAGAAAGAATGTTGTATACTAGTATATAGAAACAAATAAAAATGAATGTTTGGTTTAAATGAGAAAAGCATGCTCAAAGTTTGATTCTTGCCTGTAAAGCAATTTAAAAGATTGACATAGAATTTATTTATCTAGCAAAATAGCCAGCTTTACATAGTATGTATTTAATGTGGTGTACTGGTTGATAAATGACGATTTATTGTTAGGTAAAGTCAGGGAGACCATAGATTAGTTGGTAAAAACCTGTACGAAGTTGTTTTATACTTTATCAATGTGACCAACTAATCACAGAGAGCCATGGTGACTAGGGAATGTGTCGTACATGTAGTTTGTAACAAGTGGCAAATAGCCACGTTGTGTAGCCACGTGGTGAGTGCTGGTAAAGCAAGTGTCCGTTATATTTGTTTATTTTGCATTTTATTATCATCTTTGTAAGATTTGGGCAAACCAAGTACGATCCCAATGAGATCGCTCGGGTCCCGCATGTTACGATAAGCAAGGGTATTTTTACCAGATTTTTGAAATTCTTTGGCAACATAGCTCCATCTATTAGTTAATTTTGCTAAATATACTCCTATGCATCCTTTAGTGTTGTATTATACTCAGGTGACCATTAAGGTCCTTGGGCCTGTTGTTATTTAGGAACGAAATACTGATACTTAATTTTTTTGATTTACATCTTAAAAGAAACATTAATCATAAATATTGCCGAATTAATTAACTTCCGAACATCCCCCCCCCCCCCGAAATTTTAACTAATACCAGATTCGTGCCAAACTTTAAAATTCATGTTCTACCTTTCTATAATTAACATCAGAGAACTAATAATAAACCAATTTCAGGTTTAACCTTGCCTTATGGCCGCTGGTATATCGATTGTTATAAAATATTAACGATACTAGTGCCAGATTTGTAGATAATTCTTTTTATTCAAGTGCATTGATATTTCCTTTCGAGAGTTATATTGTTGAAGTAAATACTGAGTATGTTATATACATGTACTCTGAATTGGTCCTTTTATTGTAGAATGCTTCTCAGTCTTATTGACTATGGTATCCATGCAGGAATACAAATTCATTTAAAATCAAAGACTCAAGTTGTTGTTCACTCTTTTGTTTATATGTGGGTTGAATCTGCATCTGGAACATTATTTCCATTTAACAATTAAGTATATGTACTTGTAATTTAATATATAACATACATGTATATATAACAAACCAGAGGAGACTGTGGCTCTATACTGATTTGTTAATAAATTTAGGCAGACAAAAGTTGTAAGAAGAATGATTCTAAACGTGTATCAAGTTTTATTATATAACCAAAACAAAACTGTAGGAGGAGAAGCATTTTTGAAAGATTTTCAAATTCGTGTATTTATTTAGTTATTTAGTAGCTACATGTATGGTGATATTGCTTAAAAGACATAGGAGATTTATACGAACTTTAATATTTTGACAGATTTTTAAATACAGATATTTTTTATTTTTAGTAAGGTTGGTCAAAATCAAAAACCGAAAACCGATATACATCTACGCAGCTGTTGTTTTGGGATTCACAATCTCTTCAGAATCAACAAATTCCAATAAATGACAGTTTCCAAAACTTCAAAATATCCATTCTAAATCGATAAAATTTTCCTCTCAAGGCAGGTAAAATGTTTTTCTGTACCTCCCGCTTGCAAGGCGGGGGTACGTAATGATGTGGTGCCTGTCCGTCCGTTACGCTTGAGGGTCTTATCCGCAATTCCTCCTATACCACTGAATTAAATTTAATGAGATTTTCATAGAATCTTGTGCACTCCCTATTTTACGTTTTGACCAGACAGATATTTGGGGTTTCCCATAGCAAAACATAGACACTGCACAATAGATTCTTTCTAAAAGATTGTGGGGATACCCATCTCCTATTCGCAACTCCTCCTATTCCACTGAATAAACTAATGAGACTCAAATAATCTTTATAAGATTATAAGTGCACAATGGCACTTACACAGTGCCATTGTGCACCTCCTATTTCACGTTTTGATCAGACACATATTTTAGGGTTCCCATAGCAAAACCTGGACACTGCCATTCTTTCTATAATATTTGGGGTACCCATCTTTTATCCGCAACTCCTCCTGTATCACTGTATGAATAAAATTTAATATGATTTTCCCAGAATCTTTATAACAAAGTGCCATTGTACACGTCGTATTTAATGTTTTAATCGCACAGATATTTGGGTTTTCCCTTGGCATGGTCACTGCCATTCTTTCTACAATATTGGGGTACCCATCTTTTATCCGCAACTCTTCTTATACCAATGAATAAAATTTTATGAGACTTTCACAGAATCTTTCTTACATATAATAGTGGCATTGTACACCTTCTATTTTGGACAGATATTTGGGGTTCATGGCATATGTGAGCGGAGTGTATCATTTTGTGAGCTGAGTGCTCAGAGCATACCTTTATTATAATGTTGGACTTTCATCCTATATGCTAATTACCATAACTTGTTCATTCATTCAGAATATAGAGTTCATTCAAGGCTTACTTTAAAGTATTCTCTGCTGTTACTTTATACAAGTTTTTTCTCCAACAAATAGAATTGCTATTTGTGAATGGAGGTACTCTAAGACTTTAATCCAGTTATCCGTGCAGAAATTATTGTGATATACAGTTTTGAAAAGAATGACTGATATTTTGCATTCCTAGGTGCAACATGTATTACAAAACTGATCAAAATAAGACATATATCACTTTAGGAATTGATTTCAACGTTTTTTTTTTAAAATCTAATCACTCAGTTTGAAAATTAGATTGCATGCATGAATAGTCAGAATCAAGGGAGAGAAAACGCTGTCTTGTCATCTTTCATGAAGGTTTGATCGACACACGATTTTCAAATTTCTTGTGAATAAGTTAACCTGATCACTCATCTACAAATTAAAATGTCTATTTAAAAATATACTTTTAAAGCAAAATTTGTATCTGACAATGTCACATACAAATTTTGCATAATTTCCAAGTACACTTTATCAATACTCTGCAAAGTTCCAAAATGCTCAAAACTGTACTCAAAACTCGTATTGTCTATATAATGTTAAAGAAAATTCAAAATATCTCGTATTTGATACACATGAAAAACTTGATTTACACGGATTATACACACTCAAAGAAAGGAGATCTTGTGTACATGTATATTTAACGTAAATCTTTAATATCTGATTACGGAAAATGACTGAATTTTGCGCTACAGGCGAGAACAATTCCATCTGTTTTGTCCGTGTTTATTCAGATGATACTATATCTTGGAGATTGTTATTTCTGTGTGATCGGTCTCTGGAACGATGTAAATCAGACATTAAACCCTACGCCTTCGTGTGTGTTTTCTTTAACTGTCGAACACTGTTTTCAAAAAATTCATTGTTTTTCTATCAAATTTACTTTCGTTTTTCTGATAGCAGGGTTCTAAGTATTGTGGTTATAATCCGAGGCCTGTTCAACAGAGCGAACGTTCGCGAGCGCTCGCCAAAATTCCTTATCCCTCCAACAAAAATGTTCGTGAGCGCTCTTTCTGTTGACCAGGCCTCCGATACTGCTCAATAATATGAAATATTAATATAATCAATAAATGTATCTTTTAACATAAAATATTTATACAGTCTTCTAATATGAAATATTTTGTTATTTTGAATATATGGAATATTTATATTATCTTTTATCATTTCCGGATAAAGCAACATGCTATAACGGTGTAAGATTTCATATTGTACATGTCTAAGTACTAAGTAAATATAGATTTAATTTAATTCACAACAAAAGTACATGTAATTCTTCCTGCATGGGATTATAATCAATTTTTGTTTTATTATACAAATGATAACGGAATTAATTGCAAAAATTATAGAAAAGAGCGCACAAAGCATTGTTGGATAGGGTACTCAAGGTATATTATCTGCTAGAATAATAGGGGCGCTGAAAGCCCATTTGGCGTTTATCATCGATACCCCGATGTTTCGGCGAAGGTCTATTTATTGACGCATACTGAATTTCTTTGAAATCGTGTAAAGTCGTATAGTCTTATCATTTATACCTTAATGCACATTTTCCGCAAAGTCAGTTTTTAATGTTTTACATCTTTTTAGCGAACAGACCGCGAAATTAATAGTTGCGAATCATATCAAACACCAAATACATGATTCCGAAAGCTTAAGACTGCTGAGCTTTTGTATTTAAAGGCGTTTGTTTCCGCAAATCCAGTTCTACTAATTTATGAAAATTCATCGTCGTGAGAAAATTTAAAATAGTGAATTATTTTAATCTAAAAGTGTTAAATTGTTAGAAATGGCCGGGTTTCCCGGAACTTTAATTTAGGTTGAGTTTTCAAATTAGTGGTTAAAAATCGATTCTAATAGCCGGATTCAAAGTAATGATTTTTTAGCGATAAAACATCGTTTACTGACTTAACAGTTATTCGTGCATGTTAGAGATTGGCAAGTGAAGAGATGATGTATCTGAGTTTTTTGTGAGTGCATGATTTTTATCTGATTTGTCTGTAAATATTAGAATGTTGATTGCATTGGCTTTTATTTGCTGTATGGAAATCTTATATCAAATTACACTGACAATAACACAAACCAGTTACCTATTGCTATGATAATTCCTTTGTGGTCCAGTCAGCCGACCATTTCATTGTATAAAACCAGTAAATGCGTAAAGCAGCCGGGCAATGCTAAGATCCATTACATCGAGCTTATAATGCTATACCTGTTTCTACAGTTATCATAGAACTTTCGCCACAATCAATAATATTTAATTGTTATTAGCTAAATTAGTGATAACATTCATCTCGTTTTCGTTGGCTTATATGAAGGGGTTGTCGTCTGCGTGAGAATCGATTGTTTCTTGTAATGAAATTCTTTCCTCTGGAATTAAGAACTGTATGTCGTGAATATCATTAGTATACAGAGCGATTTTGTGGAGTTCCCCACAGAAAATCTTTAAATAATCGGAAACAAACCAATTTGTTGCCGATTTCTTTTTTTTCTTTTTCCGTACTCCGAAACTTTCTCGTGCATGGAGACCTGGGCTCACGCCAAAGTGTGAATAGATTTTGTCGACAGACAGATCATACAACGATTTTAGCCTTGTCTATGTTAGCTTTTCTTAATATACTAGTATACACAGAAAGTTTAGGAGTTGTGGTGGGACTACCGGTTCTTTCTTTACAGTATGACAGACCAAGCAATGTGCCCTGACCTCTGCAGCACCACCTGCAATTTCTGCTCTTTTAGATGGCGATAGGAAATATTCCTTACATGAGGTAGGTAAAAGGCAGTCTGTGTGTGTTTCTTGCATAAAAGTATATATAAATGTAAAAATATATCTTTTATACATGACCAGCATCAATTGAAAGCATGATTTTCTACATGATGTAAGTTTGGAAACAATTTATTAGAACTTGGAGTTTATGAATTAGAATGTTAATTACGTGTATAAGAACAAAAACGAAATGCAATATATGTAATTATGTCCTGCTTTGTTTTAATTACACCCCCAATCTCTGGACGCCAAAGCATTTTTTTTTAAAGATATGTCCAGTTGAAATTGCTCAGCATAAAATGACGTAACCTGGATATATGAGTTACCCCTATCAAAATTCAGAAAAAAATATGATTACCACTATAGATTATTTGTCATACTGTGTGTTATACGGTGATTTAATAACTTCCAAAAATTACGGAAAAATGGGAAATATATATATACATTAAAAAATGATAAGAAACGAAAGCAGAACATGCAAAACGGGATGCTTGTTTTGTATATAGATATTATAGATATCGTAGAAACGTCAGAAAGACAGGACGATGAAGCGCATCATGGCTCTTAACGATATGAAATGCCTTCGCTGACCAGTCGATAAGAAACTTGCCCTACTAATAAGATACACTGATAACGCTAATTATAGAAGTATAAGAATAACTCAATTCCACATTGATCATGATAATCAATGATAAGCATTGTATTAATAAAAACATGATTTTACCGAGAGAAAAAAAACCTTGCAAGACTGGTACAATGTAGCAACATGGTTACTAATGTATTTTTATCTGAAAACTCTGGTTTTTGCCTCTTTATTTCCCAATGAGATTTTTTTTATTTCATACCAGTTATATATAAAGTGTTAATTGTGTAAAAATGATGATTTTCCCGCGATTGCAAGGTTATTGCCAATAAGAATCATCTTAGATGAGTGTTGGTTTACAGTTTATCACAAATAGTCTTCATATCGAGTTGCGCATTTCCAAAAGTTTCCGGGATATCCTATGTTACATGTTATTCATAAGATAAATTATCGACAGATACTAAATAAATAATAGAAAAAAAGTTCAAGCTATAACATTTCCGCGAGTTTACGTAACAAATCATTAAAACGCACTATGGGCCAGTAGGTCTTTACCGTCCACAAGGCCAGTTTATGCAATTTCTGATGAACTTTGTAAGTTGTGGAACCACATAGATAAGATGGAATGTGAATGGTGATTAATGAGATATTAATATCGCAAAAATCGACAGACGTTTTCTCCGCATCATCGTATTTCTATCAGATAGCGAGCAATCGGTGTAAATATTTAAAGCGCACGGATTCTATGGATGCTCAATTAACTGATTGGTAGGATTTATAGAAACCGACAGAAAAAAAAGTGGAAGAAAATTTTTGAGAACATTTCTCAACACAGATTTCCAGAAACTTTTAATTTCGTACAGGTATGCAGTAATTACCGGTTAAACGTGCGGAATCCGGAGATAAAGATATATTCGGATTTGTTTCATTATACTTCGAGGATAAAAAAGAAATAAAAAAGAATTTTCTTTGATTTAATTGTCAGAACCAAGCTTTAAACCTTACTGTAAAATACCCATTACATTATACTGATAATGCATTCAGAATCATTTTCGGCATTCTACCAGACTGATGACCTTTAACCGTCCGGATTTATTCCTTAGACAACTTTTTCTCCCTCAGAAATGTTCATCTTGGTTTTTTTTGTATGGCCTGTTTATCAACACTGTAGGCAAAATAAGATTCTAACATCGAAGGATATACTTAGAGTAACATATCGAATTCTTTTTCTGCGAGTAAATAAAACATTGTGATGAGGCAGATAATCTTTTCTCTTATCGGGTACAAGAAATACATAGCGGATTGTGCTTGCAGCCCAGTCTGAGTTTGATATTAAGTTATTAACAGAATGATAAACAACGAAATCAGTAAAACTGACGATGCTCCCATTTGATAAGTTAAGAAACGCAAAGATGTGTTTTTCAATAATGTTAAATGATTTGACATAATTCTGAAATGCAAGGTTAATGTCTGCAAGACCTTATTACATAAACCTTGACAAAAAATATATGCAAAGATGAAAACATTTGGGTGAACAGGCTATAAACGTAAAAATCTAAATCACTGTTCTTTCTTTTTGAATTAAACTTTTCTGCAAGGATATAAAACTTGCAGTAATAAATATCTAGATCTGGAATGGAAGAACACTTTTTATGCAGTGTTAACTCCTTTAAACCTTTATGGAATGGTAGCCGCCTTCCGGGGAATTCTGGCTATACTCGGAGTGGTAGATTCATGTTTCCTCCATCATAATGTCTTCCCACAAATTTTAATTAAGATAGAGAATTTGGTGTTATGACTATTTCATAAAACAAAATTTTCTATCTAAAAAAAATTTGTGGGAAGACAATAAGAATAATACTGAATAAATTTCAAACAACTTGAAACAATGTGGATAGCTTCCAGATGGTTACTTGATCTACTTAAATAGAAGGAAAAACGAATTGAATGATACTTTCACAAGAACTCCCCAGATAATGATATTCAAGCAATAAAAATCTTGAGAATCAGATTTTTTTGAGACTAGTTATAAGACGCTGACCACTACGCTACACAGCTCATGACAAATAGTAGAATTTAAGTCATGTTTATGATGTGACTCTTGACTAAATGGACTTCAAGTATTCCTCGGAAATACATGTGTCATAAAAGTGTGTGTTTTAAGGTATAGTGGGTCTTTGCTCCATGTTTTTGTTAACACACACACACACAAAAGGAGGGAAGACCCACTCATATGGAAAAATTATGTTATAATATGAGAAAATGATCCGTTTTGCCCACTCTGATGTGTGTATGCTATTTCATAGACAAGTAATTTCAATCTTTATGGGAATTTTGCATTGTGGAGATAAAATATCAAAGGAATTTTTGTTATAATTGAGATTTAATTTTTCAACTTCATATTTGTCGCACCCTAGGCATTTTGCTCGCCTTGTTCGCCCATCTTCTTTCCGTGCCAAGTGTTTGTTTTGTTTGTTTGCTTAACGTTCCCTCGAGAATTGGTACGCCATGCACCAGTTGGCGGTGGAGGACTGCAAATTTGGACCTGTACTCGGCACTAATGACCATTGAGCAAGAGGAATTTTTTCATGCCTCGATGTATACGGTCTCATCCAAAGGACTGGTCTCCAAATACCGCAGTGGAATTCGAACCCGCGACGAAAGGATCAACACTTTCTAACTGTGCCAAGTGTTTCGCGGTGTATCTAGCACCCCCGAATATCACAGATCACACGCCATTAATGCTTTCTGTTATACTTATCACAATATGGTCCACAAAGACGTGTCCTGTCTTTTATTAAATTTGATATCCACAGATATCATGAAAAAGCTATGAAAAAAGCTACATAATATTGTCAACAAATATAAGTAAAACTGATAAGACTCTTGAACTTTTTAAATATATGGATAAAGCGCATTGAAGATATAAACAATTTAGAATACCATTTCTTTATCGAAAATGCACAGAGCGCAACATTCTTATGAATTGTAAATACACTATAGAGAGGTCAATATTCTACATTTTCGCTACATCTTGCAGGTTTGGTTATATTATAAAGTTAGAGTACTTCCCTTTGGGAGTTGGACAGATTCTGGTTGCAGACCCCTTTCCAGAGGAAAATAAGACAGCCCAAGAGCTCGAGGGCCTTGCTAATTCTCGTGGTTTTATGATACCGATAGGGACACTAAGGCTCTTGTTGTCTCTAATTTGAACCAGGTCCGACGATTCTTCTATGAATAATATTCAATAAAAATAATATCATTAAACACGAGTTATCATTTTTGTGGTTGAATATTATTATGACTTTATTTTGGCAAGAAATAAAGTTAGCATTAAATATAAAAGGTATATTTTGTGCTAACAAGCTAATCTCATAACAGGATGGATGTATACTTATTGCAATAATGGATAGTTCTGTCACTGAACTAGTTCTCGGACTAATATGTAACCCACTTTTTCTGGGTAGCTTAAAACCTGTTTAGGAAATTATGCATATTAGACAATGCAGATGATATAATATGAAATAATTTGTAGCAAATAAAGGAGCATGAAATAATTATGTGCCAGAAGTTTTTATCAGGAAAACTCTTTTTTGGTAATACTGTAAAGAAAATCTTCCCAAACATCCTGGTCAATTTAGATAACGGTATTTTCACTGGACTCCCAGCTGGTTGAAATATATAAAAAGAAACAGAAGTTTATATCACAATCATCGCGGTGATATTAGATAAGACATGTTGGCAATATCTGGGATTTAAAAAAAGTTATAAATTGTTGTAGTATAGAGATTTTTCTTCCCTCTTTGTATCTCCTACATAAATCGAGCAGTGTTTGGAGTAGAGGGCTAATTGTTATTGTCATAATCCTGACCCTTTTTCCCAGATGTGAGGTACGTACAAATGTAACATCTCTCTCATTACCTCTGAGCCTCCTGGTGGTTCGGCAGGACTTTCTCAATACTTGAGGTAAGATCCTCCGTCGATAAAATAACATATAATAGTATTTGAAATCAACCCGGGCAGTTAAAGCCTTGTAAAATTTATGATTAGTAAATAACATTTTTGATTTTATCTATCGCCTAGTTTTCACCTGAATAGTTCTGATCTGTAAAACTTTCCTAAGATTACCTAATATTTATTTTCTGAAAGGAAATCCACATTTTCGATCTACTTATTTTCTGATATTTGTTGTTAATTTTAAAAACAAATGGATCCTAGATTCCTTAGAAGCCAATAATCATGAAATATTCTGAATAATATTTCTGACCCCTGGGTATATTCTTGCATACTGGACGTTAATTAAAGATAAATAAACTTCCTCGTATTGTTCAGATCAAGTAAATCATTACGAGCCACCGAGCAGTCTGTTTGTTATAATATCTACCACTGACCGGCTACAGGCTCTCCATGGCAGACAACTACAATCTATACAAATAAATAAGTTAATATATACTCGGTAGATAAAAATGTTCTAATTTAGATAAACTGTCAGTAAAGGGGAGACTTTATCTCTAAAGAAGATTTCAAATTTTTAATATGAAAAAAAAAATTCTGGGTCAATGTGTAAAGGTGTCTATAAGAAAATATTCTCCTCACAAAAAGTGTCAATAAAAATTTTATTTTTTAATGGGTAACCTTGTAAAGGAAGTTATTTTGTTATAAATATGACATAAAGAAAAAAAAACAACTTAAGAAAACTGTCGTTTTTTACAAATTGATGCTTATACCCTGTAGTATATGTACATTTAATTCAAAATGATCCGGGAATATACGATTGCTTAAATAAAGCGTGTCGTTGATATTTAGAGACTAGCGATGAAATGTGCTAAAAGCACTCCTGTGTTTCTGGTTCACAACAACTAAAAAAGGGAGCCAAAGAGTTCTCCACCTCCGTAACTGTGTCAAGATGGGTGGAATAAGAGAAAAAACTTTATTTAAAAAAAAGAAGATTTTAATTGCGGAGCAAAATATTCAAAATTATTTTTCTATATCAAGTCTGAACGTGCTTTTTAAATTTATATTTCATCAATTTTAATGAACATACATGTATTTTGGAGTATTTAATTATATCACTTGTAAATTGTGTAGTCAAAGAACATGTACATTAAAACGTATTCCAAAATTTAAATAAAAAAAAGAATCCCGAAAAATTATTTTAAATATTTTGTAACTATATCCTTGGCAAGCGGATTGCCTTATCAACAGAGAACCTTTGAGAAAAGTTTACATCCATCTTAATCTCTATATTATTATAAAAGCTACATCACTGCCAACAAGATATATCAGTATACTGTTCATGTGAATGTTATTGGGAAAATAGAACGGGGGGAACACATATAGTCACTCAGTGCAATGGTTAACACGACTTTGCACGTGGCGCAATGTTTCTCTCTGCACAGTATATAATAACAAGGTGTCCTTGTAAATAAACAAAAATGGACAAACCATTATACAGAATTCATACTGAAAGAATTACATTAAATTATTAAACTACAAAGAAAATAAAGTAAATATTCCTCAAGCTTTTAGAAATCTTATTGAGGAAAGTGCGGTGCTCTTTCTTACATCAGCAGAAAGTTCGTGGAACCTTTTCTGATATTATGCTTCACATTTTCAAGATCTGGAGAAACCTGCATATTTCCACTGATAATAATTTCTTGTTTTTATCCGCCTTATTTTTGATTTTATAAATCATCTTGTAATTTGCATTTAAGGCATTCAAGATAAAGGATGACTGCACTTCACGCCGGCTTTTGGGCCTTTTTCGGACGCATCTGTTGCTTTTACATGTATATCTTAACCTTATTTCACTTTTGTATATTTATAAAAGAATCCTGTCAATCTGGAGCCAAATTTCAATGTTAAAATGATTTACACTTACCTGCCCTTGACTGAACATTAGGTATGCATGAGAGGTGGAGCTAACATTGTAAAGAATGAGTCTAAAATAAGATTAGATAAATAACAATGACATGTGTGAAAAAAAACGTGATTACTCTTTTCTCCGATTAGTAAACTACTGACAAAGGTTTCAAAACGAAATTAACAATATGAGCATGTCTATGTAATTAAGAAGATTTTAAATCAAAGCCATACGATTTAACGTGTTCGAACACAATGTCCTAGTTAGCACAAAACATGTTACCTTACAAGTCACGTGACGGAATGTTACCTTAGGTAAGAAATCACGTGGTGAATTATAATATTCAACACGTCAAAATCCTTGACAACAAAGACAGCGAATGTAAGAGGAAGCAGTTTTTCTCCTTTTAACCATAAGCGCTCGTTTGTCTATCAATCTCCCTTTGACACATTGTTATTAATGCAAATATACATGTACAACTACTGTGAAACGGAGAACAAAAGACAAATATGCGTTGACTATGTATGAAGTCAGTAAAAAAATGGGGTCCTCATTATCGAAAGGAGAATCAAGAAATTGTGATGACCCCCGCCATTGAAAACAGATTGGTACTTCGTAACTTTTGTTTAATGTAATTAAATAAAGTTGTAGATTAGATATTGACCATCCTTACAATTAAAAGAAAAATCCTTTTTTGAAAGTTTATTTTGTGGCAAAGTTCGCATGTCCTTAAGTGCAGCCATCCTTTAGCAATGTCACCTTTTATTTTAAAGCACAAACCGTCAACCTTTTCCAGTGTATTTTTATTGGAGACAGAATTTTGTTGGCGATGATGTAATTAACAAGGTTACTCGTTAGGCATTACTTATTTAAGGATTTTAGAGCAATGTTTTAAGTCAAGTACCCATAGAACTAATGCAAATGTCTGGTCCTAACATTATTTTGTTCCATGAGAGAGTTTCAAAAATTATTTAGTTATAGTTTTATCATATTTTAATTTTTTTTCAATTCGGTTTTGCTTTAAGATATAAATACAAAAATGTCTACTAAATAGAAACTTGCATACTCTTAAAGGGAAGAGAGGGTACCGTTTAAAGTTTTGCTTCAGTTATATTAGTTTCTTTCAGAAAGTTTGCAGATTTAATCTTTTTTATGAAATTCTTAGCAATAAATACAGAGGTTTTTTAGTGTGCGATATGCATGACGTCACAAAAGATTTATTTATAAACACCCATGTGTTACCGGGCCGTAGTCCAAGACTCAGCCATTTACTGCACCCATAGATCATAAAAGCTCTCGTGATTAAAAACCAACAAACATCAGACATAAATGGATTACATGTGTATATGAATTGTGCTATGCCCATAACCTAAATTTTGATACCACTGCTAAACAGTTTCTCTGTGTAAAGTGCAGATATACATGCGTATTTTTGTGTATAAATGAACGTTGAAATTCGTTTGAAAAGAAGTTTATTTTCTGAAATTTTACATGCAGGGTTTACAGTGAAGCAAGTTTGATAAACTGAAGGATAAATTTCAAACTATAAAATGTTGCAAATTTAAGCTAAAGTGCAATTTCTGCAATACATTAAGTCTGATCTTTCTACTACAAGATCTCGAGGAAATATCGCGGTAATTAAAAGTGAAATTTGAATTATATTTTTAAAAAACAAACAAACAAACAAACAAAGCAAAACAATTTAAAAAATATTATTTGTCTCTCTGGATTCCATACCTCTATAACAAAAGCTTGATCTATATTAAAACCAGAATTTTATGACTGTCTATAAAATTTAACGATGAAATCCTTATAAGTAGAAACAGCTGTTTTAATGACCAACAATAATCAAATGTATAACTGGGATAAATTAAAGAAATGGACAAAACATGGTAACAGTGACTTAAATTTACATAACAAAATACTCGTCTGATTAAATTAAACTAAAACAAGGTAACAGTCAGAACTTCTACATTCTAAAAGAAACGAAAATGCTAAACAGATCAACGAATTAAATTAACCCTATTTTGCATAATGCACATGATGAAATGTATATAAATATACTACATTATAGAACGCGTGTATTTGCACATCTTTTTTTAAGAAAGAGTCGAAGAGGTAACATAAGTTGTTATAGAAAGGATCGTTTTCGCAAATTAGAATATTTTTTTCTCCTTGGTATTGGCTAATAAAAAGAACTTCACAAAACGGACGACATTGAAGTGATTTTGTTAAAAAGTAAACAGCCAGCCCCGTCTCACCTGTTAAAAATCTCTGCAGTCTGTAAACATGTTTATTTTTTATTTCCTGGTCTGGCATGAAACTACAAGATTAGAATAGGTAAGAGAATAATAGTGAGTGTTGAGTCCTATTTTCGTTAATTTTTTATTTGTTATACTAGTAATTAATTTCATACTCTGATTAATCTCATAAATCAAGGCTTGAATAAATGTAAAAGATGCCACCACTGTATTTTTTTTATCAAATGGTAGAGATTTGATAAGTCAGTTGATTATTATGAATATACATGTATAGATAGTCCCTAATGGAAACAAACCCATATAACGGTTGATTTATACACTTACTGTTTTATTTTTATTACAGGAAATGACGATAAATGTCATTATCAGTATGGGGATCCTCTTCCTGATGGACAGGGCATGCGCAATGACAGACCAGTATAGTGTTATGCTTGATGCTGGAAGTTCTAGTACAAAACTCAGAGTATATTCATGGCCTGAGCGAACATCCACTTCATCAAAATTTTACATAACAGAAAAATATTACAAAAAAGTAAAACCATCATTGAGTTCATTTCAGGATAGTTTAGGTTCACTTCCAGAATATATAAAGAGTTTGATTTCGATTGCTGAATCACAAGTGCCTTCTCACCGTCATAACAGGAGCAATATTTATCTCTTTGCGACTGCAGGTAGGTTATTTCAAAACTAATCCCGATATATTTATATCATTGCCAAAAATTCCTAAGAAATAATGCTTTTTTATTTATTCACACATTTTCCTAGGTCTTCGATTTGTAGAGGAAGAAAAAGCTATGAACTTAATGAACAGTGTTCGACGTATATTGTCTGACAAAAGAAACCATAAATTTATATATAGCGATAGAAGCGTCCGAATTCTCTCTGGTGAAGAGGAGGGTGTGTTTGCTTGGATTACTGCTAATTACCATAAAGGATTCCTCTCTTCTAATCAGTAAGAAGCAGTGTATTAATTCATTGATGCAAATAAGATTAGAATTGGAGACTGTTATCATTAGTATGACTCTGTTATCAATGTTAAGATATGTTTTCTTGTAGATCACAATCGAAAGCAGTGGGTGTTCTCGAAATGGGAGGCGGATCCACACAAATCACATTTTTACCAGACGGACCTCTCTTAGCTCACATGTTTCCAGTTCGAATTTCTGGACGTATATTCAATCTCTACTCGCACAGTTATTTAAATTTTGGAACAAATTATATGGAGAAAAGGATAAAAGAACATCTTATCGAACAAAACCCTCACAACACGGAGATCCTAAATCCGTGTGCATTGATAAGTAAGCTTAAGAGCATTTTTACAAAATTATAGTTTTGTATTTAAAAAGATGTCAACAATCTATAATATACTTAGTATGTACCCGCCAACCACACATTTTTATTTATATATTTCAGATGACAATAACACATACCACTTTAAAGAAAAATCTGTGATATTTCAGGGATCTAGTTCTCCCTCTGAGTGCCTTAATATCATATCAATGTTTCTAAGAGATTCTCATGACACTTGTTATCCGAAGCCGTGTGCAATAGGTTCTATTTACCAGCCTTCTACTGGATCAGGCATATTCTATGCTACTGCAAGTTTTGCCTTCATTGCTACCGATCTAAATGCCACAGATTCTTCAGGGAAGCTTAATATCGACAAACTAAACAAAACTGCATATAAATATTGCAGTGAGGTAAGTTTGACTATGCTAAAATAAAACAAAATTTTAAATTAATTTTGGTGCCGCGACCAGAATATTTTCTGTCAGATTTTGAGCCACTGTTTGTTTACTGTACATCCCTAGGCCTCTGAAAATATTTTACTCATGTTGGGACGGCGACGCCACTAATTGCTCTCGGAAAGCTGCAAAAGAGCCTTTGTAAGTGATCATTAGAGTTTTGAAATCTTAATTATTCTGTTTTCTTCAGAGTATAGATTATGCAGTATCCTTTTACAAAGTGCGGGCAGAGTTTGCATCTAGTACCTGCATGATGGGACTGTATATTACAGAGTTACTTACCTTTGCTTACGGGTTTCCGGTGAATACAGATAGAATATATTCTGCTCAGAAAATCAATGGAAAATCTCTAGGTAAAGGAAAAATAACTCCAAATTGTTGAACTTACGCCAAAAGCGTTTGATCTTTCATGTTTAGTCACAGAAGATATTTCTCGATATTCTGCTCCTTTGAAACATATATCTAAAGCATACAATATATACAGTGTGATTTAAGAACTTGGACAGTTAGCTAGAATTAAAGGTATTGTTCATGTATTCCCATCGCGGTTGATCAGTACTCCATTTTTTCTAAGTTCTGACATTGCTATGTTCATTAGATATAACTGTGTGTTTCAGACTGGCCTTTTGGTGCAACGCTATACGAGGCTGAGCTGATGGCCAGGGATTATCCTTGTCCCCCCATTTCCTCGATGATCAGTGCAGGAGTGTCTCTACAAGGCCTCAAACTAAGTCTACTGGAACTTTTACTCTTCCTTTGTCTTTTTTCTTTCCACTTAAACATTTGACAACGTAGGAAATCCTGGACATTTTCAACAGCAGCTATATAGTGTCAGATGACCACAATTATGTATTGTAAATTATAGACACGTTTTTACTAATCTGTGTGATTTTTAAACAGAATTTTGAAAGAAATATATATAAAAAACGTATTGAACTGAAGAATTATTTTACATCAGTACACATTAATATTGAGCAACAACTACTACGGTATTTTTTTTCCTTTTTAGTCATTTTTCTTTGTTTTTGCATTCATTCTGCAACTGGTGCATATCATTAACTAACATTTCCAAACAGAGCAGGACCCATTTACGAAAGAGGGTGCTGAAGTTGGCATGAAACAATTATTATTTTACAAGGAAGCTAAAAAGACATAGTTCTATTTTTATTAAGCTCTGAAAATTAAATCATTCCTTATGTTTCGTACAAAAGCGATATAATAGTGCACTCTTATTAAATCTTAATATCAGTTAATAAAATACCCGCAGTACCGATTACCTGTTTCACTTAACACAAATTTAAGAAGGTTTTGGTTTCTCTGTCCATTCTATAACAGTGTATGATAAAGATACCGATATGAAATATAGACATTTACAAGGAAAGCTTTGATGGTACATGTAAATATTCGATATAGACAGAATTTTTTTTAAAATAAATTAACATTGTATCATAATATACTTTACAAACAAGCATTCTGAGAGTATTGCATTAGCAATACTAGTCCCCTACCGGCAAGTGTAATCTGGTTCCGTTCCCGTTAAGAATTGAAAATGCCATAATTCCGTCAAAAATTAATGAAGCGGGACGAAATGCAAACTTGATCTGTAACTAATCAAGGTAAAGCCACATACCAAAAATCAGCTCAATATCTACAAGCGTTTAGAAGAAAAATGCGGAAAACCCTAAAAATTGAAAAGGCCGTAATTCCGTCAAAAATCAATGAAGCGGAACGAAATGCAAAGTTGATCTGTAACTCATCAAGATACACTCACATACCAAAAATCAGCTCAATATCTGCAAGCGTTTAGGGAAAAAGTGCGGAAAACCAAGTGGGACAGACTGACAGACAGACAGAGGGACAGACAGACAGACGGACGGACAGACTCAGAGGAAACCTATAGTCCCCTCCGGTTTCACCGGTAGGGGACTAATAAGAAAATGAGTTTTTAAAATTATTAATTTGTATTAACCACTTTTACTCACAGGCAAATACTAGCTTACACAAGGACTCATTCTTTAGATAATAAAAAAAAGCAAAACGGTTGAAAAAGGTATCTAGTACATGTATATAATCACAATTATATATATTCTACTTTTAGAAATATAAATTTGTTTCTCTATATTGTTAAAAGACGCATGAATAATGTCAAAATATGATAGCAATGTAAGTTTTAAACCAATCAAAAATGTTTCCCCCCACAAGGACCGCTCCTTTTTCAAGTTTGTCCAGGTAAAACTTTTTACTAGCTATACATTTTTCAATATTATATTTCAATTTAATATGACGTAATAACACCCCTCCACAAAAAATAGAATTTGATCTTGCATTAAAAATTGAAAATATACTGATTTGTATATAATGTTATAAAATCTTTATCTTTGCTAATATAAGTCATTGGTAATTCACCTAAAGCAATATTTTCAAGAAGAAAACCAACTCATTTGTTTATTGTTTTATACATACATAAAATGAGGTTTATCCAAAAAGATAAAAATTTTTCACAAAACATGTTGAATAGTCTCTATTTCTTGTTTACAATTACAATTGTCCGAATTTCACCTCAATTTTCTTTCCAAATGAGAATTAACTGGTAGAATCCTATATAAAATTCTATATTGTACTAACCATTGAACTGTAAAATCCTTTGTTGTTTTCAAACGAAATTTGAAAACATCTATAACACAATTTTCATTTATTAGTCCCCTACCGGTGAAACCGGAGGGGACTATAGGTTTCCTCCGAATCTGTCCGTCCGTCCGTCTGTCTAGCTGTCTTTCTGTCCGTCTTTCTGTCTGTCTGTCCGTCTGTCCCTCTGTCTGTCTGTCAGTCTGTCCCACTTGGTTTTCCGCACTTTTTTCCTAAACGCTTGCAGATATTGAGCTGATTTTTGGTATGTGAGTGTATCTTGATGAGTTACAGAATAAGTTTGCATTTCCTTCCGCTTCATTGATTTTTGACGGAATTACGGCCTTTTCAATTTTTAGGGTTTTCCGCATTTTTCTTCTAAACGCTTGTAGATATTGAGCTGATTTTTGGTATATGACTTTATCTTGATTAGCTATAAATCAAGTTTGCATTTCGTCCCGCTTCATTGATTTTTGACGGAATTATGGCATTTTCAATTCTTAACGGGAACCAGATTACACTTGCCGGTAGGGGACTAGTATTGCTAATGCAAAACTCTCAGAATGCTTGTTTCATATGAAGATAACTCCACATTCCACTTCAAGGTTTCCTTAATTTGTGTTTAAACAATTGTAAATGTATTTTGTACATTTTTTAAACAACATGTTTTCGAAATAAACAGGTAAAAAAAGGTCCATACTTTCTTTTTACAGAAAATCTATCGACATATTCTTTGTATACATGACCTTATGTACATTGAAATTGCACGAACAGAACTATCATATTTCACAATACATACTGTAGAATATTAAATCTTTGTTAAAGAGACACCGTGACGAAGTAAGGGGAAATTGACAAATTAAAGTAGAATTTTTGCATGACACATGCAAATTTTGTTCAATTCTTAAAGATACTAGGTTTCAGAAAATTACAGGTTTCAGAACCTAAAAAATCTACTTTTATGGAGAAAAATAAAAGTAAAAATAATTTTTGTTTGCCCCAACACAAAAATATTGCTTCACTTCTTCCTCTTTATTGCACGCATGCGCAGAAAAGTTGAAAAATTACCATGGTGTCAATTCCATAGATATATATAAATATCGGATGACCGAGGATTTTGATACAATCTTCAACAAAGATGATTAGAACTTATTCCTGACTTTTTCTTGCTCCAATTCAATGTTGTTTACAAGTTTCATTGCTAAGAATAAACGTCGCGTGACCTTGATATTGTTGATATTGACGATAATAACTAAGCGATAGATACAACCTTTGCTTTTCCGGCACTTACATTTTGCAGTTCTTTTCTTGCTTTACAGTGCAGTTGAGAAGTCAACACTTCGCTTTATTCATATTTCACATAAATCTTTTGTTTTATGATACAATTATCCTAAAAGAAGCACATGATTTTGACTCATTATGTAACTTTAAATAGTCTTTTGAGTAAGAAAAGGGCCCTTTTCACCATAAAAAATCCAATAGTTTTAGCACCATTTATGTACCAGTTCCGAATATAGATGCTTTTGTTTTTAACTTTTATTTTCGAGTTATACCACACTGATATATGTAAGAAATTGTGAAAATGATTCATTCAGATTTTTCATAACATCAAGCCTTGAGGTGAAATAAGACCATCTTTATAATCCATTTTATTTTAAAATGTCATTGCCATTTACAGTCATAATTGTATCCATCCTTGATTTATTTTAACAATATTTCGACAAACTTTTAATCCAGGAACATTTCAGGGTTATTATACATTTTCTGATATTAATAATTTTAAGGCCCCCTGTTAGAGAGTCTTGAGTTACAGTAACTCTTAGATTTATCACACTTTGATATCGATCCAAATGAACTCGAAAACATCTTGACAAAGAAGAATAAGTATCATTTTACCATTTCAACTGCAACATGACAAGTTCAATTAATTTTAATTTATTTATTTCAATTTACCGGTATTTGGCCAATGAAAGTTAGCATTCTCCGCTTCCATTTTTGTATTAATGTTTTAATTATGGGTATGATAATACTTTTAATTAATTTCAATTATTTTGTTCAACTGAAAAAAAAAAACTATTCCCAGAAGATTAAAACTTGTGCATCCCCAGTCAAGTTTCCATCTAGTATGATGAAACACCTCATTTGATTTTAAGGGTCCTATCCACACATTTTTCGCCTATTTTTTTTTTTTTTTTAAATATTTTAATGCAGAAAGAGAAATAGTGACTCAAAGCACAAGATGACTTGAAAAATTAATTTTATAAACTAGTTTAAAGAAACATGTATATTTCAGAGATAAATGGTGTTATTGTTTGACATTACATTTTCCTGTTCAGACTATAGGACCTTTGCCAAACAAAATTGAATGTCTTACAAAGAGCATGCAGAGGAAACAATAGGACGAGAATGGGATTGTCTTAATCTGTCGGTAGAGAATATAACTGGACAAAATCGTGAGCTTAACGTTGAAATTTGATTAGATTACTAATTATACTGGCTGAGTTTTAAACCAATCGCAAACATTCATTTAAATTTAAATTCCACAATGAATAGATATTGACATAACCTTGCACTTGGTAATCTTGTCTTGTAAAATAGAAGAAAGATCAGGGGCACCATCAAGGGGGAATTTTGAACTGAGGCTTTCTATATTTACATGTACAAAAATTCTTTACAAGAGTATATTCCTCATTTAGTTGAAAAAGGGAAAGTGTTACAACACGATGAAAAAATATCTTTGGAGCATTCTGTTTCATTTTAAGGTAGTCCGATCCTCAGGTTCTAAAAATCAGGCATTGAATAATTAAAAATACTCAAAAAAAATGTCTCTGAATTCTCAAAATAATGTGAATTTACCCTCGGTATTTGTTAAACTTTATCATTGAAGTTAATAATATTATATAGGAAAAATTAGTAAATCTCAATTAAATTTTCAGGAAATGCGAATAAAGACACCTACTATGCATTTTCTAATTGGAAATTGATCAACAAAAACATGTTAGGAAAAAAAAAACGATAGGTATCCAGGCATTTGAAGATTATTGCATGATTTTTATACTTATACAGTACTTTAGTTTCTTCTGTGTACTTCAATTATTTTTTAATGCATAGTTTATAAAGTGTTTCCTATCACTGCGAAACACCATAGCTCGTTTCTATCTAATTTCATATCATGCTAATTAACATTGGTATCTAAGGCTAAATTAAAGGAAAAGTCGATTTCTTTAAATCTGTATTTTTAACATACCTTTATACGGTAAAAATATCAACGTTTTAAAAGACTGTTTCTAAAACTTCAGAGACCCTTGAATCACATTGAGATGCATAAAATGAAAATTGTTGCATGAAAAAATTCATTTTTAAGCTTCATTTTGAGATTTTTTTGACTTGAATAATAAATTAAAGAGTTATCCTTCCTGGCTGAGGATCGGATATCCTTAGTGGATAAGGTCATGTACAAATTCTAATATAATATCGGGGCTGCACCCCTACGTGACCCCTACATGTCCTTTATCACCAACTTTGCTTTACAATGCCGTTATACAATCCCAAGGCCTTACGTGATAATTGTGAACAGTAGTAATTAACTATTTCTCAGAGCTTTCTTGATAATAAAATAATACTACACAAGAAATTCATATCATAACATGAATAAAAATAGTTCCCTTCTCAAAGATCGTTTCAGCACAGGAAAAAAAAAAACAAAAACAACAACAAACAAACAAACAAACAAACTTGATTATCTGCAAAAAGTCATCACAATTCATAAAAATTAGCCAGAGCAGATCTTATGGGGAAAGCTTATTGGTAACATGCCTTTTACGGCAACATCCTTTCTTCACGTGATACAGGTTTGTTTGCTTCCTTAAACAGCTTGAAAGTTAGAGAAGGAATAACATTTCTTATGTCCCGAGCAAAATACTTTAATCTGTTTGAAATTTATTTTCCCTTAATTCAATGAATTCCTTTAATTATAGGGAAAAAAGTATAAACTTAATTGCCTTTCGGTTCTTACAGAGTAGGTTGCCTGTATTCTCAGTAGTGTCAGGCGTTAGTGATAGAGCAGTGGTAAAAGCTAAATAAAAAAAAAACCGACTTTAATGGAAAATATCAAAGGTTTAATAGAATAGCGCTACATGTATTTGTTCATTTAGCATCTTTGCTAGCCAAGGGTTTCTGATCCGCTACTCTCCTCATAAACCCTTGGCATATGGTGCTATCAAAAGTTGGGAAATTTTTTTCTCAAGTTGTGATTGGAGTCAACTGATATTGTTCTACCAATCAGAGAATGGTTTTTAAATGACGATATCTCCATTTGGGATATTCTTGACTCTTTAGTCTCAGGAATCAAAAGTACAAGTAAATCAATAGCTGTGGTGTCATCCAACTTTAAGCAACTGTGCACATAATGTGATTAGGAATCTATATTGCAGATATAGATTTGTATTCTATAAAATTTGAGATCACGTGACGTAAACAACCCCGACTTTTGATGGCACCATAGGCCAAAGGTTTGTGAGGAGAGTGATCAGAAAAAAAACCCCACTACATGTGGCTGTCGGATTGGACAATTTAATCACATTAACCATATTTTTGTACAAATGACCAGGTGCCCTAATTGAGTTAAAATTCTCCATTATTATATTAAAATATTATTGTTAATATCATAAGCCTTTCTTCATCATAATGTGCTTTTCATTTATATATTTATCTATATTTGCTTTTGTCCCTTTTGTTACTCTTGGTTACGCTGATTCAAACTTATATTTTTTATTAGTATTATTCTTCTCTTTTATATCGGAAGGTTTTTCTGTAGGTACATGTAAATATATAAAAAATATAATGTGAATTTATGTAAAGTAGAGGCTTCGCATTATTGTTACACAATGTGTTAATGCATAAGATTACTTCTATTATGTTACTGTATTTTAGGAATGAACTTAATAGCTACCCAAGTTATACTGGTATAACCTGGGTTGGGACAGTTTACGCTTTATAAACCGTGAAGCGTTTTATAAAAAAGCGTAAACTTCCAACCCAGGTTATACATGTACCAGTATAACTTGGTAGTTATTAAATTCATTCTTTAAGTTTAATTTTCTATCATTAAATGTAGAAAATAAGACAATATCTCCTTCAAAGATCACTTCAAATAATACATATTTTAAATGTCTAGCGGATTGATACGTTTTGACGTAAGTCATTGTGACGTCAGCAACACAGGTTGTATGATATAAACTATTTTTTTCATCCAATCAAATGACGCGTTACAACCTAAATTAAATAATATTTGGTTATTTGCATAATTCTTTGGAGATTATTTTTTTTATATAATAAGGACAAAAGACCATTTTTACGAAAAACTGGTTTTATATTTAAAAAAAAAAAAAATCAGAGAGTATAAAATAAGACGGTTGTTTCACAGACAAAAGATTTATTCGGATGGACGAGGCATTCAAGAATCATTTGATCATATTGTAAATACAAATTTTACAATATCAAAAATGCATTTATCTCCATTCAGTAAATTCAAAATTTACAAGACATGCAATTTTCCCCATAAGTTGTAGTTCACGCTTGATAATGGCGCTCTTTGAATACATGCAGGGTGAAATTCGACATTGGGGGAAAATTTTAAAACTTTCAAAAGATTTCCTCGGGAAATCAGAGTAAATAATATTTATCACAAAAATATATTTATTGAAATAGCACCTGCTATTAATATTCACCTTTCATCCAGGCTCAGTGTCTTTATTCTAGTCACAAGTCAGGTAGCTTGTTCTCTAAACAGATTGCTATTATCTTTATCATTGTTAATTATGAGTCAAAACCACACTATTTGATTTTTTACTGACAGTTGTTTCTATACTCTTTTTCAGTTCTCTCATTTTTCGTTATCTGTCTCTTTTTCATTTCACTACCCCTTATGTTTCTTTCAGGGGAGCCTGTTCTTTGAATCAGTTTAATTGACAGTGGGTTTTAGTGTGTGAGCATTCTAATACTCCACTGCAAACGCAGCACGCGAGGTGCAAATTTCAAGGGCATGAATTAATTGCTTACTGATTTACACAAACATCGCTGTAAAATCTGTCGGATGAGGTGTTGGAAGAGGTTTTAATGGAAGTTCGTATCTCATCTTGGACCAAAAGAATCTGTCATCTGGACAGAGTACGCGCTTTCCTTCCACTCTTGACTTCCAGGGATCTGATTTTAATCTTTTTTTAATATCCTTGTTCCATAAAATATAAATCACACGACCATACAGGTTGTCACTTGATCGATGTTCCACTTCTGCTTGATCAGCCTCGAAAATACTTCTCTCATCGTCAAAAAATTCATTGGTTAATAGGAAAACTATTCTCTTGCTTTTCTTCATATTGGTAACTAGGTCATCAAACAGGTCGCCTCCGATATTAAGATCTCTCTCAGAATAGAATACTTTATATTTCTTTTTTTGATTTTCTTCAAGTTTCTGAAGAAACTTAGTTCTCACCCACTGTCTGGCTTGTATGTCATGCTCATAGTGCGAGATATAAATATCGTATTCCGCGTGGGGATCAGGATCAGGCCACCATGGAATTGGATGCACTCCAAAGAATCGGTACAGTAGGACCTTGGTTTCATAAGGACATCTTCTGGCAGTAACGACCGCTCCAATAATAATCGCGATGACAATTCCTAATACAACAATGACGACAACGATTTCAAGTACAACTTTGCATCCAAGTTTTTCAGCTGTTATTTGACGTATGAGAAGTAGGTCATCATCTCTGTTACATTTTACGTCATAATTTGGTTCGATTGGGACCAAATTTATCCATTCTGTCATCCAGATCATGTCGCAATCACATTCAAATTGATTGGAATTTATCCGTACTTTATCTATTGTAAAACGCTGAATAATCTTTGGTAAATATTTTAGCTTATTTTCAGATAAATCTAAATGCTGTGTGCTGTTCATAGATTCTAAAGCATCTTGGTTGACGTCTTCGAGACGGTTTTTGCTAAGAATTAGATTAACAAGTTTTGGGAGGTAATTCCTATTCTCCAATAATCGAATATTGTGTCCATCCAAATGCAAAGATATTTTTCCATATAGAGGATTTGGAAGTTTATCAGGAAGTTTGTTCATTTGTTGTCCATTTTGATCTTTAGAGAAACTGCAGTTGACGAGAAGGTATCCATTATTTGGCTGTTCTTGACACATACAGCCTGAAGGACAATCATCAGTGACGTCACAAACAAAGTCTTCAAGGGGTACATCATGGAAGAAATCTTTTCCCACCAGCGAATATGGCGCAGCACATCGATAGCGAAAGTCTTCTACTTTATAGAAATAAAACAAAGAATTGTGCAAGAATTCGACAAACGGATAAAGTTTACAGTCGCAGAAAAATGGATTTTGCGACACGTTCATTCGGAACGATAGGAATTCCGGAAAAGGATCTCCCGTATAATTCGGGTTGTAAAGATAAACCATATCTGCAGTCAAAGTTGAAAAATTGTTAAAACTGAGATAAATAGCATACTCGTAAGGTTGAATCAAATTATATATCCAATTCAGTGAGTTTCGGAATTCGGAAATCGAGTTATACCTGAAGTCAAAAACGACATCAATATTATCACCTGGATCCGCCTCCGGTATAAAGGGCCATGGTTCAAAATATGTTAAGGAGTTATATGATACATTGACATGCTCTAGAAGTCGAAGATTTTTGGGAAAGGCATTTGGTCCCATATACCTAATGCTGTTATTTTGAAGATGTATTTCTCGAACGTTATCGAAGTGTTTGAACGTTCCATCCTCAATGCGGTCAAGCCGGTTGTTGTCAATTCTGAAATATTCAATCCCTCGTTTGTAGTCCAGTAACGAAGAAGGCAACAGAGATATGTCATTATTAGCAAGTGTTAAATATACCAAATTATAAAAGTCATCAAAAGCATTTCCAGATACCTGCTCAATTCCGAGTCCATCCATATTAATGTAGTTCACACTTTTGTCACAACCTCTGAACGTGTCGTTTGTGACAATTTTCAAAGGTATATTGAAGATCAACTTTTTGTAAATTCCATCAATTTGTGGAGCAGGACAGGAAGAAAGCACACAAGAAAAAAAGAGACAAAACACAAAAGACAGATAAAACAAATTTAGAACATTTGTCTTCATCTTTCCGACTCGTTCGGTGTTTACGCTAATAATGGTTATGTTTGTAAAGTTCAAGTATTTAAAAACCTTTGAATTTTTTTTTTGGTTTTTCTTTATGAGTTGGGAAATCCCCAGCACTTTTCCAATGCCATTGGTCTTTATTGAAGCCAATACCATGTACCTTTAAAATGATAGAAAGAGTCTTTCATTTTAAAGGTACACAATATTGGCTTAGTTAATACATACAATTACAATTGAAATGGACGACCACACAGTGAAAATATCTAAGGATCAAATATACAAGCGCCTGTGACTTTATGCAAAAAAGGTTGCTCGCGTTTTGGGGATATTGTTTTTAAATATTGTGATGTAATCTAGTTCATTGAATTGTGCATAATCTCTTATTTTAAACATCTAATTAAAATAAAAATACTTAATCCATCAACGGAAAATATAATTACCCTGGGCTGTCTTTGGAGGGGAATTTGGAGTTTAAATGCCGTGTATTTTTAGAATCCTTTCATGTCTGATTCTCAAGATAGAATTTGACCAGGAAGTAGAACATGTAGTGTTGCAAAATTGCAATTCTTTTCCTAACAGTTTTCATTCTCGTTTGCGAGACAACACAGCATGACATTAATTAGATCTCTGTAGAAACAACTTTCTAATATCTATTCACATTTAAAGTCATATATGGCGTATTTTTTGTAAGTTCAGACTAACTAAAATTAAAAAGATCTCTCTATTTGTTTTAATACTTTATATAAAGATAGGACTTTCCTGTAAGTTACACAATTTAAATCAATCACGTTTCAAAGATATAAGAAATTTAAAACAATTACCGATTTATTTATCGACTCCGCATTTAAATAACAGACACAGTTTAAGGTCAATCTGACCATAGAAACGTGAGGTTAGGCAAGTTCAAAATCGGTGAAAATTTAAATTTGAACGTGAGTAACATATATCATGTTTATCTACACTCAATCTCGTATTTTTATTTTTAGCTTAGATACGCCATATAAAGCTTTAACAATGTCTTACCTAGTAACCTAAAACAATGCAACCCCGAGTGGAAATAGGCATATTATCCTCTGTAAAACTTCTGATATTTCCTATGCAAAATTTTGATATTTCGTATGCATACGAAATATCAAAATCTTTATAAAGGAAAATATTTACATAAGACGCTGCTAGAAGCTATGAGGAGTAATATCACATTACTTTCAGCTTTTAATTAGGAAATAAAGCATGCACAGTTTTTCAATTTCTCTGTTTTCAATTAAAATGAAGTGTTGGAATTTGAATATAAGTAATATATTTTGGTTTTTAAAAGTTCAAGAGGATATGGCCTCGTATATTTCATTAACTTGCAAAACTGAAAAATTGCCTTTTACTGGCACGTGCATTTAAAAAAAAATGAATCATAATAAAAGCGATGTATGAGCGAGTTCTGTTAAGAAAACTATTATATCATATCTTTGTTACAAAATATTTTTAAAACGTTAAAAATACCCCCCGAGAAGTGCCTTCGGATTTTTTTGCACGGTAAGACAAACCCTGTGGCCTCGATCTTGAAATTTAACACCCAGATTAAGAAATGTCAGTATAGTCAATAGAATTGCAAATCCTTCTTTCAATATGATATCAGTTGTATTTAAATAAAGGTACCTGATATATTTTATTACATTTGATCATGCAAAATTAATCTATATGCAAAGAATGTTTTAAAATTAATTAAAAAATATTCTTTTCAAATAAAAGATGACACTCGATAGAAACAGTTTTGAAGAGAAAAAAAATCTGAGGAAAAATAAAAATTTTTGACTAAAGTTAAAAGTTGTCACCTTTGATCTATGTCCTATGCTGCTTGCAGCAGGATTTTAGCAAATAAATGCTAGTAGTTAGAAATGGACATTTCATTTATTTAGAACTTGATCGAAAATCGCAACAGTAAAGAAATTGCTTAAGAAAAAAAAATATGCTGTACGAAATTATTGCATATCCAGAAAAAAAAACTTTATTAGAAATCGTATCTACAAACATACATACACATGTATCATCACAAACAAATAATGAGGAAATCATCTTATACACATATACATGTAATACATAACTCTATTTTATAGGTCTGATGGGTGTTGGCCAAAGCTATGATGAAAGTATACCTGAAAACAAAAATAAACAACATTTATTAATTAAATAAAAAAAAAAATATAGAGCATATTTAATTAAAAAAATCCACTTTTCCTCTCACCTGCAATGCATGCAGTCATAAAACAGGCAAAACAGCCGGAAATCAGGGCGCGGAAGGATACACGCACTATATCTTCTTTGCGGTTAGGCGCTATAGCGGTGAGTGCTCCTATCATGATTCCAAGAGCCGTGAGATTTGAAAATCCACAGAGTGCATATGTAGCAATGACGACCGAATGTTCCTTTAAAAGAATTTGTTAATATTAAATTATAGTAAAATTCTCTCCATACAGTTTTAAAAAAATATGAATACGTGTATGTAAAAGCTTTTTAGGTATGTACAAAAACATTTTCTACAATATACTGCAATTTTCAAGAATTGTATTGAGCTGTATACATACTAGTTATAAAGTCTCACAATACTTGGCGATTTTATTTATTTACAAATTGTATCAGTATATTTTCAAGGCCTTCTAAAAATGATGATAAACTACCATGAATATGAAAACGTAAACCGATGCAATGAGTCAATATACAATTATACAGCCATATTTTTCATGAAGTATGAGCTTTAATAGAATTTTCCTACTTACAGTCAGTATTCCGCCCTTCAGAGTCTGGTTTCGATCTGTCAAGAAAACATCACAACTGGACGTTGTTGTCCATTGCCCATCGTACGCTTCAAAAGCCTCATTATTTTTGATAACTTTCCCCAAATCTTCGTATGCTAAAAATTCATTGATGAAAGTCTTGATTCCAACCATCCGTGCGACGACACAACAATCTCGTGGTTCCACGCCCAACAGAAAAACTAGCGGCCAAAACAGGTAGGAGCAGATAAGCTGTAAAACGGAAATAACCCTACTATACATTTTTTTCTCAATATATTGAAAAATATGCAGTCACATGAAATCCCACATATAAATGTATGACGTATTTTAGAAATAAATATTTAGACATGTTTGTTACTTTTTTTTCCTCTTTATATTCCCATTTTTATGAAGAAAGAAGAATGCTGTTATGAATATATTTTAGACCTGAATCATGTTCACCTAACCCAGAGTGGCAATTTCTGGTCTTGACTTTCAGACAAAATTGATGTAAATATTACAATTTGATATTTTACAATGGAAATTTCATTAATGCATTGACACCAAATAGGTATGGTCAATAGCACATCATTGCAAATAACTTTAAATGGGCAAAATAATTATTTCCGGCAAACGGCAAAGACAGTACATGTATTTGCAAAATATTTAAATACCAAACAGTTTGACTAAAACCAGCCCCCTTCTCCTTTCACTCGTCCTGACGAGGGGGGCTGGTTTTAATCAGACTGAAATAACAAATAACTCAAAAACTTTGATAAATATAAATACAATTTCAATAAATACAATTAAAATAAATGCAGAAATTTAAGTTTTTTTAACTCGTTCAGATTCCGGTTTAAAAGCGTCAAATGTGACACTTCAAATGGCGTGTCAAATGACGTCAAATTTATCACAAATGCGACACTTGAATTTTTTTTTTCAGCGACAACGCTAATAACTAGTAGAATAAGAAGTACCCTATTAGTGAAACCAATGACTGAAAAGTATCCTGAAAATTAAATTATGCTGGAATTAAAATATTGCCATTATGCTTCATGCTACAATAAATGGATTTATTGTTTTATCAATAAATCTTAATATTGACAAAGAATGTTTGACAGAAAATTGACAGGTAAGAACAAACTTTAAGCATGCCATGAAGAATTAACATTTCTAGTCTGTTTCATTTATCTTTAGCACATATTAATCATCATGCAGAACGTACTGGTATTTAGGTAATGTTTCTGACAAACAACCATAAATAATTACAGCTACTTCACCTTACCTGAAAGGTTAGCGGCGGGTAATCAGGTAGCATGAGCCCAACCCTCTCCCCAAGCCACACCAAGGTAGCGTTAACAAAACCCAGGAAGGAGAAGAAGGCAATCACACTAGCTATGATGTAAGCCACAATCGGCAGGGCGATGATGGCGCCGATTGAGGCGGCTTCCATGATGTTTCTCCCCTGTCTGAAGATAAAAAAAACTTTTTTGAAGTTTAAAAAAATCAGTTCTTGTCAATAGTTTTAGAATTTTCATTACGATGCTAATTTTCATGTTCTACAGTTAACAATAAAATTTAGTTGAAAACAACGATGACACTTTTTTATTTCGCATGCGTCGTTCGATGTGTCTCGTCTGCTTTCTTTGCTTTCCGGCCAAAATAATTTAGAAATTCCGAGTGCAGCAGGCGCGGACATAACACTGGCGGATATCAAGTGATTCGCAGGAGCCTGTATTAAAACAAAAATAAAATTATGAAACATGGAGATTGAAATTTTATATCAATGGTTTTTAAATACATGTAATTAAATTTTTAAAAATCTTTTTGGACATATACTTAATATCTTTAAAAGTTTTGTACAGAAGCTTTGATATAAGTTTTATCTTTTTCAATTTGGTTCTTCAGAAGACGATTTTTAAAAGATGTCAGAAAATTTTGACTAATTCTTCATTATCTCCCCTTGAAAGAGGTGAACAAACTTGAATCTCCTTCATCCAAAGATACTTTGTGGCAAGTTTGACTAAAACTGGCCAAGCGTTTTGGAGAAGGCGTCGAAAATGTAAAAATTTTTTAGCCTTTGGCTCAGATGAGCTAATAAATAAAATATTTTTTGAAACAACTTGAGACAGATTTCAAGCAATTCAAAAATGATGCTGGTACCCCAAAAAGGATGTACACGACTAAAGTGCTTCCTGCCACTGTTGCGAATCCATTCGTCATCACGGTGTGAAGTTCAGATAGGGTCATCTTGTCAAACAGAGGCTTGACGATCGTCGTAGTTTCAGCCTAAAACCAAGACATTTGATAATGTGTAAATAAATCAATTTGTTTGGAAATGGTAGCTTAAAATGTTGTACAAATGAATCCTGATTCACAATAGTAATAGCATAAATGCAGTGCGATACTTATGCATCACCATGTTTGTCTATTGCATCAACTATGTACAGATTCAAAATCAAAACCATGTTCTCTTTATCAGATTAGCCTTTTTAAAAAAAATTCGCGCAATAGATATGGAAGCAAAATGGTAAGAACGTTTCAAACATTTTGAAATACTCAGTATCCTAGTCAGTGAATTACAATTGCAGGCAACATAATAAGCTTTTTGAAACACTATACTTAAGTCACTATCATTAAGTCAAATGCTGACTGATGTTTTTATACTAATTGCTGGGCCATTACTGAACTGTCTACGGATTTTTCCGTTTTTTTTTCCCGATCATGACAAGGAGCAGACGGCGGGTGTGACCGATCGGCAGGGGATGCTCATTCCTCCATGGCACCTGATCCCGCCTCTAAATTTTGAGGTCCGTGTGTGCTTTGCTCCAAATTTGTATCGTTTCATTGGACTATCAAGATTGAATATTGTTCGTTATCTCATATTTCATACTTTGATTCTAAGATACTGAAAATATCTAAATGGTACACAATTCCTTACATACACAGTAATTGAATATTTTTATAAATGTCAGTGACTAGCATTCGTTCAACAATTTGAGGTTTCATGCCGATTTGGTGACATTTGAACAAAACCGACAGCATCTATAATATTTGAATTTTGGATCATAAAGCTACAATTTGGACACACGATAATGAGGTTGATTTTCCAACCTCTTTAATACAGAAATTGACATTCATCATAAAAATACAATTTGAACAGCTTCAAATACAACATAATCCGAAAATGGCGTCTGCAGAGATTTTTGTAGAGTGATTTCCTACAGAGAGGTTTGTAATAAAATGAAAGTCAACTTGTCATTCACCTTTAGTTTTCTTTATGATTTCTCTCAATCAATTTTTAAATGTTTTCTACTCTGTACTCAATTTAAATGACGGTATATCTACTAGAAAGGTCAAGGTTAATGGGAAATCTTGATCTATGTATTAGTATTTGACAAAAAACTTAAAGTAAAAACACAATTAACAGGGGGATGCCCACCGGTTTTGGTCATAGTTACAATTCATAGATTTCTGGGATCACATACATATACCTATTACAATGAATATTTATGTTCCATTTCCCTTCGCTCGTGGGAAAATAAGTCATTTTTGTGAGTAATTACACTTTGGTTGTTACATCTCATCAACCCTCTGGTCATTCATATATAATTTTGCTTTAATGCTCATAATTTTCCGAAAGAAATCTTTATAAAGAAAATAATTTCACTTTACCTTGTGGGTCAAAATTTAACTAAAATCATCTTTTTACCTTAGCAATGTCTTAAAGAATCGAGTGAATTTATACTAATGCTAGTTATCTCTCTTAACAGAGGATCAATGACCCTTAAAGGGCATCTCTCGTTCTGAATGACTAACCCATCCAACAAAGATGTTGACTGCGGCGTGGAGGGATTCCATGGCAGAGATTCCTAAGGTATACTGCATAATGAAGGCCATTTTCTGAATCAGGACTTGCATCCATCCTAAGTAATATAAGATGGAGATGACAGCACTGAAGAAAAAAATCACAGACATCACCTGCCAAATAAAAACAAGTGTATTGACTTTTGTAGCAACACTTCGATCATCAAGAAATATATTTTGATAATATTCCTATTAAATCATTGCTTTGAGAAAGATCTTTTATCTTTTCAACAAATCAAATTTAAAACAAATAATATAAAAAGCCAGCCTTTTTTAAGTTTTGAATTAAAAAAAATTATTTCCATATGGTTTCCTTTACAGTATTTGGAATTTTTCCTTTATAATATGAACGTTGTTTGTGAGGTAACGGATACAGACATGGCTCCCTACTTAAGATTTTTTTTAATTAAGTCTATGGAAAGTTATCACTTGAATGACATGTATATGTATGTGTAATTTTATTTTACCTTGAATGCAAAAAAGTGTTCAGTGTAGGCTTCACCAAAAACAAAAATTGCACCGTTGTCTGAGTGGTCGAGAAATTCCGTGACTCTTTTCCCCAACCAATCAAAAGCGTCATAACCCCAACTGGTTCGAAGGACAATCAAAGCAAAGACCATTTGCAACAGAAATCCCCACAATACTGGCCGCCAACAAACCTTTAATATATATCCATACATATAGAGAGCTTAAATGTCTAGAAGAATAATGTTTAGATAATTCTTCAATTACCAAAGATTTGATACATGTTGATCAATAACTACAGTTAAATAAAGACTAGTCTATTTTTTATTTTTTTCACTTGGAGAATTGCTTCTTGCCAAGCGAGCTCGCCAATTTTTATTTCTTCTTGCCTGAATATATTACGTCAAAATTGTTTATATATGAAGCACAAATTGAATAACCTGTTCAGGGTCCTTTGAAAAGAAGAACAGCACAAACGTGAAAATGAATAAACCGGCAACAGGTACAAGTCTGAAGGGGCTGTTTACCAATACTGTAGCTATGACATATATGATGACGATGGTGATGACGTATACGGTCAAAATCCTATAAGTAAAACACGAGGTTTTTTAAAAAATCTGGAAAAAATTTACATGTTAAAATTTCAAATGGCATATATATACATACTTTTTTAACAACCTCCTTGTTCTTTCTTTTGGGAAGTTTGGATTCTTTTGAGTACTGTTTAAGAAAGTTTCCACTCGATCTCCATAACATTTCTTTAATGTATGCATTGCATAGAAAAACAACACAACCACGGTCAGAACTAGTAAACGAATCGAACCCTCGTCGCCGAAACTATGAACCATCGCTCCAATAAAATAAGCAAAATATCCAAGAAGAAGGAAAACCCGGAAGCAGGTTTTTAACCTTGCTTTGTTTTTCTTCAGAAATCTGTCCAGGAATTTCCGAATTCTGATCACCGGACTGAGCGGAGAACAGTTTTTGAGACATTTCGGGGGAGAATGTTGGTATGTTATAATCACAGAATCCGACTCCGTGTTGTTTGGGTCCTACGTGAAAGAGAAACATTGGGAATGTTTCATAATTGAATATTTTTAAAAAAAATTACACGTATAGTTTTAAATATATATATATATATATATATATATATATATATATATATATATATATATATATATATATATATATATATATATATATATATATATATATATATATATATATGCACAATGTGGTAAAGGTCACATGCAAAAACCCACACTGGATTAAATATGAGTGCATACAGCTAAGAAGTCAATTAATCAGATGTTTCAATCAAAAAGGGCACGCATGTTTGATTTCAATCAGCCAAAGAAAATTATGTAAGAAACAATTCTTATACAACGTTCTGTTTAAAAAAAAATCTGTTCTAAGACACAGGTTAATTTGATAATGCAAAAATATAGTTTCTAGCTAAATTTCCGAGCAAAATATTCTGTTTAATATTAAAGCAGTTACATGTACATTTATTTGAATATGCTAGTATCCATATTTGACATCCCCTGGAAATAAACTATGATTGAATATAATTTGATCGATGAGCTTACATCATTGGGGTTTTCATTTTTCTTCAAAATGAAAAAATACACAAACTGTACTACCGGTGTAAACATGCACATTACAACACAAAACCATGTACTTATACCTGGTTGTTTCAACTTAGCTCGGGAAAATGAGGTACAATATATTCGTAAAATATTACTAATTTATGCAATGGCCCTTCTGTGACCTTTACCATAGACACGTTCGTTTAATGTGTCAGATGAAATGTTTATAAACGACACAATTAGTAAACAGCTTATTACATACCCGTATTACATGAGAAATCAAAAGTCTCGGAATGCAGAAATGTCAAAAAAGTGATGAATTAGTTCTTATACAAAAAAAGTGCAAACAAAAACATTATTACCTGTGGTTCATGGATTGTAGACATCTTAATAAGAAATAAAATGTGTCGAAAAAGGCCCTTAAGCGATCTATAAATGTGTGTGCGGAACTAAATTAACTATTAGGACGCTATGAATCGTATCCAAACTCGGAGATAGTGCAAAGTGGATCCATGATCTTAAAATGTAATGGATATTCCTTTTGTTCACAGTGGTTGGTATAGGACATATACCTGGACATTGTACAGTGAAATCGCCAATAACGTTTAGGGTGTATACATATAATTCCAGGTTAAAATTATCATAAAAAGTGATTGTTGGCATCACATTTGACTTATTTAAACTGTTATAAATTTATTTTCTCACGATCAGCAGTCACATATATTAATAAAAATCATCGTCATATTAAGCGTTTTAATCCACTAAAGAAACATGTTTAAACAAGGAAAAAAGTTGAAACAAAAATGTATATGCATAGTATCATTTTATTGCACCCGACCAAAAAAAAAAGCATCCCTTCAAAAAATTACACTAAAATTGTTTTTTATTCTTGAGAACGAGTATGTCTTGCAGCAGACAGCCACGGGAGTATGGAACTTTATAAACCATGGGAATATGGGACTAGAATTTGAGAATTCATTTTGATCTGTTCTTCAGTGCGGTTGATCAGAGTACCTGAAGAATACTGAAATGGAAACGGTAAAACGTAGAAAAGACTGATTCCCGGATCAAGTGGCACAAAAAATTATTTTACAGGTATCCTCGTTCATAGATATTCCTTGTGGAAAAGATGGGAAGCCCATACCCTTTTTCCATTAAGCTACGACCTTGGTTGCGGTTAATTTCTGTTCGGTTTTCAGTGATAATATCTTTCCAATTCTTGATTTTCGGGAGCTTTTCCCTGTATTGTCTAACTTCACCTGAGACTGAATAGCACTCATTATCATTGTCTCTGATAGCCAACATATGCTTACTAGTATGTGGTTGTCAAAAACCTTAAGCATATCATAACGGATCTAAGACACAAGTATATCATTTCACAAAAACGTAACTAAAAGGTACATATAAACAATCAACTTACTTCTTCGCTTATAAATTGTTCGCATTCCGTAACGCAGTCTGACTTAGAGGTAGCCATTGTGAAAGAACCCAGAGCTCCCAAAGTTCTATAGAAGATTTAATCTGGAATTATAGCGAATTATCTTGTTTGTTGATCCATTATCAGTCATAATTTTGTCAAAGTTGTGTATGAAATGGCTTCATCTGTTATCATGCTAAACCAGGTCGATCACTATATATGTTTTGTCTTTAAGGGGAATTTTTGAAGCCTTACTAAAATTTTTATCATATTAATTCGAATATATAAATTGTGTAACACGTCACCAGTTATTCAAAGATTTTAAAGCAATTTTTTTTTGAAATTATATTTTAGCTAATTTATTTGAATGAATAAAGTTAAAATTTGCATTTGGCTAATGCTGGACGAAAAATGAGGTGGTAAAAGTGCCAGTTTTTTGCTTTTCCTCTTTCTTGTATTGTATTTTTTAAAAACTGAATATTTTTCTCTTTCAATTATTTTGATACATACAGTGAAGCCTCGTTTATCCGGACGCTTCGCCTTCCGGACAACTGTTACTTTGCCAGGCGCTCGGCACTTTGAAGTGAAAGTTGCGGGTCCTTCGGATGAGACCTTAAAAACCGAGGTCCTTTGTCACGTTGGCACGATAAAGAACCCTCACTGCTCAATGGCCCTAAGTGGCGATTAAACGTCTAAATTTGAAGCCCTTCACAGATTTATGGTGACATCTCTATATGAGTGAAAAATTCTCGAACGGGACGTAAAACAACATACAATCAATCAACCAATCACTCTCCGGACAAATTTGTTGGGAACAATTTATATGTTTTCCTAGTGTTGTTTTATTAATCCGGATGCTTCATTAATCCGGACAATTTACTCAGGTACAAAAACGTCCAGATTAACAGGGTTTTACTGTATCTTATTCAACCACCAAGTGCTACAGTTTTAACACCAGAATAGGACATTGTTTTTCAGGACACATGCAGGCATCTCAATGTACAACCTTCCAAATTGGTGTATGGTGAAATTGATTTCGGAGAGGTTTTAGCTAGCGTAAAGAGGCACAAAAGATATTGTAATCATTGAAAAACTCTACAGCAAGAGGTCCAAGCACCTCTATGGTTACCTGTGTATCATATCATGAGATGCTCTTGATATGACTACTTCAGCCCTACCCGGAACTGGATTTATGCACGAGACTGAAGTTTTTTGGGGGAGGTTTTTTTTTTTTTTAGCTTCCACACTTTTTTCTGAGTATAGAATTTTGCTATAGTAAATTTTCCTTTAGATGCTGGTTTCCCCCTCCCCCATTTCTTGATGTTGTAAGGTCGAGCACTGGCAAATTCCAGTACTACTGCAATTTCATTATTTGATATTATTAGATTTTTCTCAAAAGAATGCTTATATTTACCCTCTACATTAATCTATAATTTAAATTCCCTGAGAAAAAAAATGACACAGATAAGGACAGACTGAACAAGAGCACAATTGATAAAAAAAAATTAACAGATGAAGCAAAAATACTGCAAAACACGTCTCAATTTGTTTGTTTTAAAGGCATGTTCACTTAAAGTGTCATAGAGGATAAACAGAACATTGCAGATTGAAAATTGAACTTTTTAAGCAATTAGGGATGCAAAGTGCACTAAGGTTTTGCAACGACTGATAATGAAAGATATACCTGATTGTGTTCTGTGGTTGGAAAGTATGGAACAGGCAATGCTGTAGAATTCTTCCTCTATATATAATTGTGGATAAAGAGAACGTCATTGGTGGATGTTAAAAATTCTTACTGGTAAGTTAATATATTACAAAAACACCATAACTTGTTAATCAAAAGAAAATATACAGATTGAAAATTAAATATTTTATCGACTCTCTAAAGAAATTATCAATATATCCTACATACTTATCATGCAAAAAAAATTGTTAAATAAATGATTTTGCTTAATAAAGTTTAAATTTTATCACTCGTAGAATTCTATTTTCAAACAACATAAAAAAATTGCGACATAAAATTGTATGTTAAAAAAATTGCAATAGAAAAAAAAATTCAATTCAGATTTCGATTGACATTTTCAATTTTCTCTGAAGGTTTCACAAAAGCCTTCTATCCTGTTTGAGAAATTGAAAAGATAATTTGCTTTTTAAAAAGGAGAGGATTATAATTATCGACCTTTGAAATGGTGAAAAGACCGAGTTTCAACAACTTAAAGAAATATTCATGTTAAAGAAAAATAACAAAACTTTGATGAAAAATGTAAGTTATAAATTTGAACCAGAATAAATTGAAAATTAGACTTGCAAATTATTTGAAAAAAAAAACAAAACAAAACAAAAGAAACCTAACAAACAAATAAACAAAAAAAAAAAAAAAACAAACAAACAACCAACCAACCAAAAAACAACAACTAAAAAAAAGAAGGAAAAAAAGAACATTAATTGAAGTGGTCTTGATTTCTTATTTACATGAATTTCGCCTTGGAAAAAAGTATTATAATCTTTAATTTCTTTCAAATTCATCCAATGAAATAAGATTAAGTTATTTTCAATTGAAGTTACCATAGAAGCACCATTGCGACCCAAACTAAACTATAATGAATTGTGCATTTCATATAATATTTAATAACAATTTTGAACTTTATGAGTATATTGAATCATGTGACGATAAATTACACTTAAAACAAAAATTAATTGAATAAATATTCGGCCTGAAGTACTTTCATTTTTATGAATATCCTAAATTGAACCGAGATACTTTTAAGAAATTCGTTTGTTTTATATTTATGTTGGAATTTATGTATAGGTATTTTAAAACCAATACATGTAGTTTACATGTAAATGGATGCCAGAAAAGGAGAGTAAGGAGGCATATTTCTGTCCCTCATGCAATATTAATATCAACTTGCAAGATAATAATGTCTTCACCACCGAATCCGACACATCTGTTTCATATTTATAATATATTTTACTGGAAAAAGACGTTAATGGTAACCTAACAGTAAAACTTTATGATAAACAAGATGACTTCAACTTTTCTATCGTTAACCCCCCTTATAAATGAAGCAATATAGGATTATCACCTGCATATAGAGTTTATGTCTCTTAGTTGAATCGATACGCACTAGCATGCTCTACGCAAGAACAATTTCTAGAACGATTCAAGCAGCTGACAAATAAATTGACGAAACAAGAATATCAACAGTTTTTTTGTTTAAAATCAACATTTTGCAAATTCTATGGTCGATACAATGATTTTTTCAGTAAATAAAATCTGTCAGTAATTTGAATGTTGACTGAGGTTTTTCATAAAAATTGGTAGGCCATTATTTTCACTGAATTCTCTACGGATTTTTCCCGTTTGTCCGATCATGACAAGGAGCTAGAGCACATGGCGGGTGTGATCGGTCGACAGGGAATGCTTACTCCTCCATGGCATTTGATCCCACCTGTGATGTTTTTAGAGTTTGCTCTTCTCCAAATTTGCATTGTCTCCATGGACTTTTGAGCTTGACTGGTCCTTATCTTCATATTTCATGCAAGATTATTAAGTTTACATGCAAATTTTCAATCTTTTTTTTTCAGAATCTGATTTTCATATGTGTAAATGTACTTACCAATGTCACTTATTTGTGATATGTTATTTATCATGAATCACCTTGCATACTGTCTCGCACGCTGACATAATTTATCTTGCATGTAGGGGGCAGAAATATGCCACCGGAGGAAAGTGGTTAATTCACTATTCCTGTCAGATTTTATTGGAAATGTTTTGGATAAAATTTGTCCTTATCATTATTTTGCATTCAGTGATTCAATCTATTTGAATAATGCAAAAATCGTATACGTTTCCTTGGGAGAGTCTGGAATTTCACAATGCCTGAACATGTTTCTGGATCATTCTTTGCAAGTTTATTTAGTGAGAAAATGATAAATCATCTTTTAAAAAACGATTAAACATAGCGC